CACTCCCAAAGACGTTTTTAAACGTCCTTTCAGACTTGGTCTAGAATTGGCTGGTACTGAATGAGTTTTTAATGGGTTAATATCAATGTATTCCGATTTGGACTTGAAACTCGAGCACGCCTGCGACCATATTGAGGATAAACGGTTCAGATCATGAATGAATTGATGGATAGTAATAATTTGTTTTAATAAAATGATATTGGAGGTGAAATTTCCCCCTATTGTTGGTGCCTTATATATTCTATGGAATCCATTGCCAATGGGTGAGCTGGCCTCCCTCATGTTCCAATTGTGTCTTTTTTTTTTTTGTTTGTTTTTTGTTTTGTTTGCACTCAGAGGCCCGCTAAAAACAAGACAGAAAATATTTGCCACTTGCCAGAGCTGAAATGATAAGCCATGGTTTAACACCATTGTGGGGTGCTGTAAAACCCACAGAGCTGTTTTGGAGAATGCAAAAAAAAAGTCACATTTTGCTTCTGTGCGCAATTTCAATAGGGCACCCGGTAGCAAGACACCTGTGTGTCCCAAATGAATTGCCTTGCAAGTTCACGCGGGCGCTGGGCGAATTTACAACGCGCTACTCTTTCAACTGTGACAATCATTTGGATTTGTTTTGGCAGCCTTGTATTCAAGCTTTCGCTTCATCTCAAATGCACAAGAATAATGGAGGCATTTTCTCCACGTGCGCGCACACACAACCCGCTTGTTCACATCTGCTCGAGAGGCAAAGTCACTTATTCGAAGCAGAACGAGCCAACTCCCACCCCGCTCTTTGAAGAATCCCATTTAATTTCATATTGGCCAATGAAATAGTGGAGGGTGAGAGGCAAGTGAACAATCAATCTTTGTAATGTGATCCACGGATTGAGCACGGTGAGTAAATGTTTGCGCAGGCAGCCATTCAAGCCCGCAGTGAAACGAATTTGGCAAAAAAAGGAATCTATCCAGGGCAGGCCTCTCTCTTTATCTCCCTCCTGCCCGACAGTAGTCGGGTATCAAGCACATTATATTCCAGTGCTCTGTGCATTTTTCATATAGGCTTACCTTTTATGTTTTATGTACGCCAGCTCGGGGGAGAACAGCTGTGTGGGCGCCGCATCCTCTGTAAGTTTCCAGCGAGAGGGAGAACTCATTTTCAGTGGGAGAAGTGGAGCAGAATGCCAAACGTGGCGAGCGCGGTACCTGCGAACAAGCGGCAGCCGCCAAGGCCTGCCATTACCATAATACACGGAAACAACACCTCGCACGCTGTCACCGCCGTAATTTGAAAACAGATTGACGGCTTTACAAGTTTGCACCTTTTTCTACGCCCTGACCTCAGTGACCTCCATCTTGCCTGTCAACTTCTAGAATCAAAATGACATCGGGAGGCTTATTTGCAGTTGTTGCAGACTTCTCCGGGATAATCTGGTGTTGTCTGTAATAATGCAAATAGATAATTCTCTCACCACGGTGCACTTGATTCTGTGGAACTGTACCGCCGATCAAAACCCAAGTGTGATTTTATGATTGACCCTACTTGCTCCTTCATCCCAAGTTGATAAATCCTTCAAGCTGTGACTGTTGCAATATGATACACTTCTGCATTGTAATAGAGCAGATTTAAAACGGCGTGGGGCAACCTCCTTCAGGAATAATTATTCCGAAAGAAAATATGTCTGTTTCCGCTTCACAAGTCAGCAGAGAAAAGACTTCATTGAAAACCCAAATACTGACATGGATTCATTTTTGTTGCTAAATTGTTGTTGTTTTTGTTCCAGGCACTGGTTTGAAATACAAATAGATAATAAGTGCACCCTACGATGTTTACATACAAGTCTAAGAATCTTTTACTGTGATTCAGGAGTAATTTTACATTAGTAATGTAGCATATCAAACAAAACAGTTATGCTTATAAATTTACTGTAGCCCCACTGAATATTAATTGAAATTATATCAATCACAAAAAAAAAAAAAGAATGTGTTTTAGTGTGACTGTGGCAAAGATGCCCTTCACACTTAGAGATAAGATCTGTCCTAAAAAAATCGAGCCCGACCCGACCGGGCCCGAGGGTATTAAAGCCCGACCCGGCCCGAGCCCGATCACTTAGCTTGATTTGCAGGCCCGAGCCCGAAGCAAACCCGACATTTCATATTTTATTTGTGAGTATTTTTGGTAGACATTCACATAAACACGCCCCCTACTGTATGCCTGCTGGCCGGGTGAGAAGCACGGTCCTAGTGTCCGCCATAATATTTATTTAAAAAAAAAAATAAGTCAGCGAGAGAGAAGCCCGACCCAACACGAACCCGAACCAATGATTGACATTTTAGGGCCCGACCCGACCCGAAATTCCTGTCGGGTCGGGTCGGGCTCGGGCTCGGGCTCGGGCTCGGGCGGCCCGATCTTACCTCTACTTCACACTCATTTTGAATTACATCTGAATGAAATTCATAATGAGTTTTAGAATCATTTTGAAGGTGGATCTCGCATGTACATATTCTATTTTACTTTGAAAGTGTGTGTGTGTGTGTGTGTGTGTGTGTGTGTGTGTGTGTGTGTGTGTGTGTGTGTGTGTGTGTTTTTGTGCGATTGTAAATTGAATTAGGATAATTTGCACCGTCCCACGAAAGCTAACTTCTTTGAAATTACCGGTATTAACCCAGGAGAACCCAAGAACCCTTTTCTTCTTTGGAAAATGATGAATTATATATTAAATGACTGCTATTTGTTCACTGAACACCAAAATATATGTGTTTTCAAAAAGTCAATGCTCTAATCCTAATTTAGGATTCGGGCCAAATTGACCCTTTGGGATTTCAGGGTGGCATTTGAGTGGCAGAATTTATAGGTGACTTGCTTGTGTCGCACTTGTGCCCTGAACGTTCAGATAAAGCTTCTTGCAAGAACTTCTCCATTTCCAGCCTCTGATTTCGCACCTCACCTCAGCCCGAATTCAAACGAACACGCGGAGGACCTGGGGGGTCAGAGGACGGCGAAAGGATCCCGCCGTGACCACAACAACCTCTCCCTCCCCCGGCTCCATCATGGTCAATCAAGTGTCTTTCCGGCAAACGTTCCAGTCTCCACATGTTTGTATTTACAGGTTCCTTTTTTGGGTGGGGGGGCTCCCAGTCTTCAAGACAGGATAAAACACCCCTCACAACAATGACAGAACCATCAGGTATCCAAAGACTCTGTCTCATCCCCTAGCATGGGATTATTGAAACAATAAATGCCGTTATGCGTGAGATAGGCCGGAAAGTATGCCTCCACCCAACAGACGGCAAGAAAAGGAAATGACAAGTTATTCACAATCAGTTTCCGATTGTTCCCATGGCCTGTTTTTGGCTGAGTTACATCCCTTTCTCGGAGTACACTTACGCATTTCCGCAGGGCCATCCACAAGGGTCCCAGTTCTTTAAAACATGCTGTGACCAGTTGACAAATGTGTTCTGCTGGAATGTGGCAATGGCCTATAAACTCCAAGTGAAGTTTTTCCTGCAGTGATAGATGGTCACTCTTCACTCTGAGGGATTTTTTCATGCAAACATGCCAAAGTTGCAAAAGACCTAGTGACAGCATTCTTGTGCCATTCGTAATCTCGAATTGTTATAATGACTTTTATTTATTCACTCATGCAAAGTAGCATCATGGGTTGTTTCTTAACACAATGATTTGCAGTTATGGTTGAATTACAACAAAACTTCATTCCCTCCGATCATTGTCACACACAATACGCATACATATACAAAGAGCAACATTCTGACTCAACACACGGTACTGTATTATAAACCCACATTTTCATATCTATAAAATAAGCATTTTGTGCTGTTGTTGTTGTTGTTCCAGATCTTCTCGCCGCAACTAAAATCCAGTGATAACCACTTACTCTATACTTTGCTGTGGATGTCTTCAGGTAGGAAATTTACTGGCACCTCTTGCTATGACCTCTATTGGCCAAATGTCCACCAAATGTTAAACACAGAAAAAAACAGGCCTGTCTTGGTATAAAGAACTGTATGGATAGTAAACTATTGCAGTGGGATGTAGAAAACTAGCTGTGTGTACACTTCAACAGATCTCAGGGGACAGCTCAGACTCTCTGTTTCCTAATTGATTCAATTTTTCCCTGCAGTTCATCAGAATGAGACTTGGTCTCTTTCCAAGAAAGGGAGAGCACTGCACACATGGACGTGGTGATACTGTGTAGTATATATTATACATGGAGTGACAATGAAGAAGACATAGTACCCTTTCGGATGTGCAAAAATGTTGGAACGTGTAGTTGCAAATAATTTAACCTATCATATGATTCACTCATTGAAAATCAGTCCAGTGCATTGATCCCAGTTGAGGGCCTTGTGGATGTGTGACAATTAATTCAACAATGCCACCCTCATCATAAATAAAGAGGATTAGATGGTATTGAGTTCTGAACCTCTCATAAATGCATAACCTTCATCAATTTGCCAGGAAAATTACATAATGCACTTTTTTGGACTCCGCGAGGGCGGTAGAACTGAGTGAGTAAAATAATTAAACTGAAACAATGTAGGAAGGAAACGAAAAGAGGCAAGGCAAGAAATCAATAAAAAAAAGAATTCTAAAGTTGATCCTGAAAATTGACTTTCAGGCAGCATGTCTTGGACATTGCTACCCGGACCAAAACCAAATGAATCATACTATAATATACAGTATTCTGCAGTTGTTATTATTTTTTTTAATTTTTTTACCTGTCTTCAACAATGAGAATTGTTGAAGTCGATAAGGAAGTTGAATTCAAACATCCTTACGTTATATTAAAATGAGGCCTCAAACCGTAACTTGGAGATTTTTTTTAGGCTATTAAAACGGAAACTTGTAGTTTTATGTAAAGTCTAGATTTTCAAGTTGATGAGCATTTCAGTCTGTGATTCAAAACTGCTCATTGCCTTGTCCAGGCGGCATAAACAGTCATATTTATCTTTGCGATGACGATCGTAGTGCGTCATAGCACCTTCTAGTCCACATTTAGGGCAAACTTTTGAGAACCAAAGGATAAAACCACCGCCCGTGTTGTGGAAAATTCTCTTCCCTTCTACTTCTGCAAAGATTTGAAATATTCAGAATGGAAAACGAAGATTTGGCATTGAAAGATGCAAAAAGACGAGAACGTCAATCAGGTAACACTCAAACTAACATGATTTTTGCTTGCGTTTAAGTAGCTGAAGCGTAACTATGTTTCGATATTTGAGTGCAGAAAAGCTCACCATCTATTATTTGCAATACATCACAAATCTTTGTTCATTCGCAACTAGTGTGACTGGCATAAAACAAAGTGTCAAATTCGAAATGAGGTTTTACCCAAAGCTAGCAAATGCAAAGCTAACGAAGGCTAGCCCCTCCCATTTACAAGCTAACGCAGTCGTGTGAAAGTTGACTGCGCACACGTAATATACGCTGATTTCATGTACCTAATCAACCACCCGATGCAAGTACAAACTGCTGTGTCGCCTTTGTCGTTAGTTTTTATGAGTGAGGGGGTGAGTGAGCGAATCACGTACAAATTCTGCCCTGAATCCATGCACCACCGTATTAGATTGTCGTGGTTAAAACGCAGTTCTTGTTTTTCAATTTCGCATCATTTCCAAGTACAACAGGTCATCATTTCTGATCACATTTGGACGTATGCCTGATGCCAAGATCATCGAGGATAGGTTGTCTTCCTTTCGATATACAGTACAGTGAACCACCGCCTATTCACGAATGCACATTTTCGCTTTTCTGTGCAACCTGTTGACAGAGTGGGACTCTGCAACACAGGTTTTGTCTGACAGTCTGCAAGAAGAAAGAACTTAAATACAAAGAATCAAAAGGCACACAGTTATGTGCCTAACGTGCATGCATGCATGCCGTACAGTAGCAACTTGAACTGGGTAATGTATCATCAAATATATTTCCCTCACAATTCCAACTGTAGCCCAAATACATAAATGTTATTATGTTTTGTTTTTATTTTCATTATGCTGATGATGTTGTTGAGGAAAAAAAAACTAGGGCAGATTTGGAATCAGCACAAAAACATTACCTACAAAGTTGTCCTTGCCTCTCTAATTAAAAAAATTGAATAAACACGTGTAGACTCGGTGTTAATAAAAAAATAATCAAATAAAATAGAAGGTGGTCTCAGTTACTTTGGGTGTTTCGCTGTTCTGACGGGCTCAGTCCCTACCCCTTGTGAATAATCAGGGTTTACTGTACAGTATATTCTTATTGTGCTCTTGGATCAATGGTGTTTTGACCTTTAACTTTGTCTGTAGGTCCAAGCAGCGCTTTACATGATGCAGAAGGTATTGCATCCAATCACACGCAATGAATCATTGCATGTCATCAAGTTTTGAAGTGAAATTCAAATTGGTTGTTGGGTCACTGGCTAGTGCTGCTTAGTTTTAACCTAATCACTATTAAGAGTGAATGATCATAGATCGGTAACTTGTAGAGCAAGGTGGTAGGCCTGTAATTATTTTTTTTGAAACATCAATGGCATTCAACATCATTTGTGTATGAATTATTTTAACAATGCAGGGGTTTCTCGGTTTATGACTGGGTTGTCTTCGTATGGCGCCATTTTCTATCACGAACCTGCTACATGAATACACTAGTCAAGTCATTGTCAATATTCGTATGTAAGAACACTTGTAGGGCATAAATGAAAAGTTGCATGCTGTACGTAACCTTGAAATGTTAAATCACCATTAAAAAAAACGAATGCCGCATCAGAATGTTCATATTCGAGGGAGAATAAATCATAGAATATTGTCGCGTGTACTAGTATCACAGGAATGTTTGAATGGCAATGCGTGTGACGTATGTAGGTGGGTGGAGCACAGCAACATGCGAAGTGCACTTCTTGAGTGACACCTGGAAATTACGTGTATGGGAATGTTCATCCAACTAATAAGCATTAAATTAAACTGTTAAGCAACCAGTTAACAAAGCCTGCCTCAGCAGTTTACAAACACCTTACTTGTTACTTCGTTGAACCTGTAGCACAAAGCGAGTTAGCAAACTCGGATGTTGGCCCGGAAAGATGAACACTCCCAGGTTAGCTTAGTGCTAGCTAGCTGATAGGAAAGAACGGCGATGAATTTTCAACTTTTTCAAAAGTTAAAAAATAAATAAATAAAAAATACCTTGAGTTCCGCTGTTGTCCAGTGTACGGCGAGGGATCCCAGAGGTTAAAGTGAAGTTATTTTCAACTAAAAAGAAAAAACATTCCATGTGTTGACATGGCTGCATTAGTTAGTTATGTCATGTTATAATATGTTTTAAAAAGGTGAATATTTGGCTTGGTAAAGCGCTTTGGACAGCATTTGGTGTATATTAAGTGTCCTCAATTTACCATTATGAGCAAAATTGGATTTGGCACTTCTTGGGCTATGAGGTGGGCAAAAGTCCACTTAGTAAAATATTCACATTGATTCTGGACTCGATCGTTAAACAGTAAACGGATCCTGAACAGATAGAGCTCTATAGTTATGCCCACCTCAAGTCTGGCTCACGAGAGGTTCATGTGATGTTCAAAAGCTGCGGCCTTAGGCACTGTGATATCATTTTCAGTCAACAGCCAAGTGGTAAAATGGCCACCCTCTGAAATAGATAAAGCTAGCTGGATTTGGCTGCTGAATTCATATTCCACAACCACAGTATTAATCGAAATAGACTTCCCCTTCAAGGCTATGTTAACAATCAGAAACCAGTCCCAGTTTCTTTCTTTGGTTTATTATTAAAGGACTTGAAGTTGAACCAATTTCTAGAGTGGAGTACTGCAGCCGTTCACATTCAGAATTGCTGAATTCAGGGGGTTCTTGGTTTATGATCGAGCTCGATTAGAAAAGCGCCATAGTATCATTTACATATTTCAATGCAATAGTCAAGTCATAATTACTATAAATATTTGTATGACAAATGCTTCCTTGGTCATAAATATAAAAACAATCAAATAGAAAAGTAATGAATATGACGGTAAGCGAGCAAGCCTTCTTGTGTTGTGATGCAATAGTCTTTCATTGGTGCACAAGCTAGTTACCTGCATGGCATTCGTAACCTCAAAAAGTCGGAAGCACAGTAACTATTTGTCTACAAAACACTATAAATATAAACCAAATCAAAAGCATTATGTACGGCGGTGATGGAGCTTGCCTCCGGATGCCAAACGCTGACAGATTCTTACCTCGCATGCCGTAACCTGGAATTACTGTATTACAGGACCATCATAAACCGACCCCCTCCCTTCCCCCACGCGTTTATTTACACGTGAACATGAAAATGACGGCTGTGTGTCTTTTTATTTTCTTTTCTAGCCTTGGAGAATGGAGACTCTAACATTGGCTTATGTGGCTGGTTGTTGGTGGTGTTGTCTCTTCTACTCATGATAGTCACACTGCCTATCTCCATTTGGATGTGCATCAAGGTCATGTTTGTTTTATTACATGCATTTTATTTTGTGTTTGTCAAGAGGTCCCTGCAGTTTAAGTCGTCATCAATGTTTGAATGTATTGTATTGCCTGCTAAAGCTTTGAATAGATCAAATAGTATGTCCTTTTCGTTCAGAAAGACATAACAAATGACAGGATATCCGTTGGATGTTAAATTAAGACCTACAAAAAAAGCTGCTGTACAAGCTGATAGTGTCTTCTGCCTCTGCACGCAGATTGTGAAGGAGTATGAGAGAGCCATTATTTTCCGCCTGGGACGCCTTTTGCGAGGAGGAGCCAAAGGACCAGGTTGGAAACGACAACTTTCTCACACACGCACATACACACACACACACACACACACACACACCTGAGAATTGTTTTTGTTGTTTTGTGTGTATATATGATCCCTGAAGAAGTACTACGGTTGAAGCTAGCTTGCAAGTTCACCGAAGCTGTTGTGCAGGGCGTTATGACAGTGAAACCACAAAATTATTACTTTTACACAACAAATTAATAGATTACTAGTTTTGAAATCAGTCAAGTCAATCATAATAGTTTGTTCAATTACTGTATTGTTAAAGAGAGTGGAAACTGGGTAACAAAATAATTTCAAAATCTCCACGTTACACATGACAATTTGACATTTCGGTACAGATTTTAGCAAGCTAACACATGATTTGCTTTCGCCGGCCACATAAAACGACCAGGTGGGCCAGATTTGGCCCCCGGCCCTTGAGTTTGACACCTGTGCTGCTCTGTGTGTGATTGAGCCTCTTTTTAGCATGCTTTACGGCAGCTGTCTCTTTATTTACTTGATTTTAATCTTAAGAACAAAATATGCACCAGCTCAGCTCGACTTGGCTTTGTTTTAAGATAGCTTCAAAATGTCCGGTTATGATTTTAGTTGACAAAAAAAAAATAAAAAAAAGGCCGAGGGGCTGCAAAGGGAGGTCTTTAGCGTATTATACCGCAGTGTCCAGATTTAATGTGTAACAGAGTGAGCTAATGATTGATGTTGTGTTGATTTTTCTTATGTCTGCCTGTGTATCCGCACACACTGAACTAGAAATATTTTACAAAAGGATTTGATCACAAAAAGATGGCGTCCATTCGAGAATTGCAGTTAGCACTTGGTTGCAACAGAATGAGTTTGCCGTTGTTTTACAGCTCGATGTGCTGCGCGGAGCTAGAGCTTTTTTCTGCGTGACGCATGAGCGGCAGGTTCCCGGGAAAAACATCTTCTCGATTTAAAAGATGGAGTTGCGGATTCAGATCGAAGGCAGAGCCCAGCCGGATTCGTTCAATCTGCGGCAAACTGTTCATACGTCACAAGTCAGCTTGATTTAATTTCTGACATAAAAGGGCGTTTGGAGCAACGGTTGCCTGGTTACTCACAGCCATGTGTTGTCCACCCATAAAAGATGGGACAGGAAAGAAAGCTCAGTGAATCTGAAGACAGAAGGAGCACCTATTCCAAAAATATGCCCATTTTCAGTTGGGTTGCCGGAACAAAAATGATGTGAATTTGACCAATGTCAAGGATGTAACTGTCCAGTAAAAGCAGTAATAATACCGGATGAACAAACAAACAAAGAGACTCTTGTTCGACCTCATTCGCACAAATCAGAAATGGAAACAATACGGCTCTCCCCAACGTGCATCCTGCAGCGGCATTCACAAGGGTCTCATTTACGTGTTGCCATATGTCTGCCAGCGCTGTTTGACTTCTAGATGCAGTAATAAATCTGAAAATAGTGATGGGAGTGCCTATTTTTCTTTCCCCCGCTTGTAAGACGAGGTATTTGTAGAGGAAAAATACAGGCTCCCATGAGAAACAATTTGCATGCATCTCATGGCTCTCCGTCTCTTCATCTTTGATTTGTTGTTTTACTGCATCCAATAAAAAGGCAGGGCGTGTCCTCTTAAAAATTGTGAAATTGGACTCCCTCAAGTGCCAGGGGACCCCATTGGTGACGGCGTGGGGTAATAATAGCTCTCTGCCAGCAAATCTCACATTCCTGGGGGTCTTGTGGTGTTTATGCCCCCAACTAAATTCAGCACTTGGTTCGCTGTAATGCGCCTTTAACCGCCATCGCACAATCAGGCTGTGGCACAACCCAACAAGCATGTTTTCTCTTGTTTTTAATTAGTGCAGGCTTGTGCAGCCGCTTCATCTATCAATGTAGCGAGTTTGTTGATGAAATAGTTGCCGATCCTGATACCCAAACAGTTATTTCACCACACTGGAATTTTACTTGGAACCACAACCTCGCGGCATCGCGAGGTCCCCGCAAGGCCTTTCTGATTAGTCTCAGCTTGGCCCGGGAGAAGCCCGTGGTTCGTATTTGCTGTTGGCTCCGATTTTCCCCCAGTTAAATCTGCACTTTCCATAATTGAAAATGCTCGAATGCTAAATGTTTGCATTCCGAGCGTTTCAACTCAGGCACGTGCCAAGTCTTATTTGGTGCCCCCGCTGGATGGTTGTGACTTGAAACGGGCTTCTGAAAGCCGCGAATATTCACAGCTTTGCCCGACTGTCAGCGCAGCTGCAGTCTTCTAAAGCCTGCTTGACTTGGCCCCTCGCCAAGATTTCATTCATCCCGCCGGCTTCAAACATTGCCGGAGACGCCCGCTTCTTATTGTGTTTACCGCGGACGCAGTCTCTGCAAAGACTATTTGCATTCTTATGATTCCACAGGTTTGTTCTTCATCTTGCCGTGCACCGACAGCTTCATCAACGTGGACATGCGCACCATCACCTTTGACATCCCACCGCAAGAGGTATGACACGCGCGCCGGTGTTGACGTCGAACAAATACATCCCGCAGACGCTCAAAGGCTGTCAAAATACATTTGGAAAATTCCTCCTCCAGCTCCCGAATGTAAAAGACCATAAACTTGAAACGCATTGTTGCGAACGAGCACAATATATGACGCCGTGCCGTCTAATGCCTGGAAAGTGACTTGGTGCAGGCACGTTTTGGAGATAGTAATTTCAACCAAAGAAAATTACACATTAGTCGTCACAGAATCAGGATCAGAATCATCTTTTTTGGCCAAGCATGTAAAACACAAAAGGAATTTTTCTCCGGTAGTATATGCTATACTAGTATTGCAATAACAAAGGCTGCCTTGTGCCGCATTTGCCGCTCGCTGCGCAGCCCTTGTCTTTCATTTTATGACGTATGCCGCCAAGCAACACAGAATCGCCACGGCAACAGCGCGCAAGAAAATCCAAAGCTTTCTGTAACTTTTCATCTTAAACAGCACCCGGTTTGAAAACAATTGGATACGTTTAGTGAGGATAAGCGTCTCTGAGAATGGATGGATGGTTAAGTTTGTTAAAAAAGAAAAAAGATATAAAAGGCCAAAAATGGCGCCAAATTGCAAAGTAAAGTTAAAATGACCTACTTCCTGTTTAATGTATGACTGGAAAAGAGTTTTTGGAGGTCTTTTAGGCAGTTGCATATGCCTCCCAATTTTCGTGGAAGTGGATGAAACTTTCAACCAGGGTGCTTTGTTGACAATTTATAGGGGGCAGTACTGAGCTATTTTGACCACTAAAAATGAGTTGTGACTCACCATCAATGCCATCGCAGAGCTCTGACCGACAGCCAAAATGCATTTTTGTCATGTTTGATTCACATCCATGCATGATGCATGTGATCAGTCGCTGTGGTAGTACCGTGAGCGCACGTGCCAAGTTGTTCCAACTTGCTTTCCTGATCCTGTGCTTATCCAATTCCTTGAATATTTCCACCAATGAAAACGTCCTTCTGCCAGCGTCGCCTTTTTCATCGACGAGTATTGACCCAACATTGCGCCAAATAATTTTTTTCTTTTTAAGATAATTTGGTCAGACATCTACTGTATGTAAAGTGAACAAATAAAAGGATTGGTTTATTCACATTCAAAAGAGAGAACCAACAAAACACTATTTTAGCCCTTTTCAATCCCTTTGCTCTGCCAGTTGGTTTTGCGGCTCTTTGTGCAATCGGAAGATAAAAGGTGACCACAATTTGTTGCCTTTTTTTTTTTTTTTGCTGTTACACACGAGTATGTTCCAAATAACTCAGAAAAAAACAAACGCTTGGAGAACATGGAAGACCAACCACTATTATCTTATCCTGGTGTGATAGAATAAAAAAAGCTGTGTTGGCATCTTCCTCACACTCACTATCTTGCTTCCTGTTTGGAACTTGGCAATCCTTGCAGGTTTTGACCAAAGACTCGGTGACAGTGAGTGTGGATGGCGTGGTCTACTACCGGGTTCAGAATGCCACTCTGGCCGTGGCCAATATCACCAACGCTGATGCTGCAACACGCCTGCTGGCCCAGACCACGCTGAGGAATGTTCTCGGAACCAAGAACCTGGCTGAGATCCTTTCGGACCGTGAAGAAATTGCACACAGCATGCAGGTAAGAGTCCTCTTCGTTCTCAGTCGGCTTGCGTGTGGCCCATTCCACGACAACTTGGATGCATCGATCAGGACGTATTGGGGGTGGGGGGCAAACGCAGTCATTCGACCGCTTTAATACTCGTGTCTTTGTGATGAGAACCGCGGCTCTCGTCACTCTGCGCTTTTTCTCCGCTGCATTCAAGGCAGCTGACAATGTGACATAAGTGCTCTATAGAATCGTCTGGCTTTATGCTGTTTTCACTGTCTGTTCGGCAGAAAAAGGCCGAACCCTGCAGTTTTCAGAAAGAAAAAAAATCTCGAAAAAAATCAAATTGTGTAAGCAAGTTATTGTGCTGCCTACTTCCTGAAACGAGTCTGCACATGCACAAAAAGATGAGAAAGCAAGAGGGAGCATTTGTGTGTGTGAATTTAGACTAAAATGAATCAAATGACTTTCATCTGAAGAAAACTACATTGATCGGTTTACATGAGACGTTTGAGAGAACCCGGAAATCTCAGGGTGCGCAGGGAATTGCCTGTTTTAGCCTCATGGAAAGTCTGCCCCTGGCACTAATTTTAGCATGTGTTTGCATAGCCACTGCAGTCAGCTGCTGTTTAAATTAGAAATATTGGAATGACCACTGCCCTTCCGCTTTGTGGACGTACAGTATAGCACACAGTCTACGTCTGCCCTCTTAAATCTATTTAACTTGATTAAATGGCTGGTGTATTTGTCAATTGGGGACTGTTAAGTGTTGGTTTTACCAATTCATTCATTTTTGGGGAGGGGGGGTTGCCTTGATGCCCCCCACGTGATTTGGACCCCAATGGTGTTTTATTATGGGACTGCTGTTACAAACACCCCGATTAGGGGGGAAGGTCAGAAGATGACCCCACTGGCCATATTTGTAATTGTCATCACAACCCGGGGGCACGTGTCTCCTCCACTTAGCCAACGGGAGGAGCAGACTACACGGTTCTGGTCATGATGACTTGTACCAAATAGACAAACCCAAACATCTCATGTTTTGGCAGTGGGTTCACTGAAGGACTTCCAACCACCGTTTGTCAAGGGAGATCGGGGACCTGCTCTCGGAATAACCTGCGCTTCATGTGTACTTCTGGTGAAGGAGTTCGCTAAGCAGCTGCGGCGGCCTCATGGCGCAACAAATAAACACGGGGAGCCGATAGAAAACAGAACAGAGGGTTAAAGTGGCCCCTTGATTGCGGCCACTCTCTCGATCTGCATTTATTCGGCTGCAAATGTCGATTTAAAAGTGAACAACCGGTAGAGGATTGAACAAATCAAGAAAGAGCAGATGTCCGTTCGTATCTGATCCTTATCATTTATTCATCCGTTAACCCATGTGACGAATTGAATGTTTTGTTTTCATGGGCGCCATTTATGTGAGCCATAACTTGCTTTCATAATCACACCTAATGTCAAGTGTCATAAGTGTGTCTCAATGTTGCTCCACATTCTATTGTTCATTATTTGAACATTTGACATTGCCACTGATTGGGGAAAAAAAAGTCCCTGTTGTCAGAACATTCATTTTAAAAGCCTTCCCTCTGCTGCCATCATGTGGCCAAAAAGTAGAATGGCTAGCGCACCGTAGACGCAACCGTAAATATTTCTACTTGCCACCAAAAACGATCACATGATTTGAATTCACTTGATCCTTGAGCGGCGACCATCCAGCTAAGAAAGCCCACCTAATGTCTGCGTGTGTCTTGTCAGTCCACCCTTGATGACGCCACTGATGACTGGGGAATCAAGGTGGAGCGAGTGGAGATCAAAGACGTCAAGCTGCCCCTGCAGCTCCAGAGAGCCATGGCGGCCGAGGCTGAAGCCACCCGGGAGGCCAGAGCCAAGGTATGTTTCACTGCGGCGTGCCACTCACACAAGAGGGGCGACGTGACTGGCAATGATCTCCAACCGGAGGGTCCGAATTTCCTCCTTGACCGGCGAAATTCCCGCGCTTCGTACTTGCTTCAGTTTTACTCTGAGATGGCTTAACGTGTCCCTAAAAGTATTGTTTAAAAATGTTTCGACTTTTTTTGATGCGTTGTTTCAGAAAAAGAATCCACCTGTTGCTAAGCCTAACCATTAATTCATAAATATTGCATGTTATTATTATTATTGTTGTTGTTATTATTAAGAAAACCTGATGTTTTGGGTCTAGTCGTAAAATTTTAATTTGCTCTCTTGTTGTTCGCCTGTTGGAAGGCATGAGAAATCCTTAAGTTGCCTCGTGGGATTGTGGTCGTCTAGTTTTATTACAATTAAAAAAAAATGTTGAGTAAGTCTTACTATATACGAAAGTAATTTGCCACAGCTGGAAGCTGATCGAATTTGATAATATCGGTGTATCCTGTGTGCTTAAAAGCACCTGTTTAATCAATGTAAATGTGAAAATGGAGGATAATTACTCATGCGGACCCTCCTAGGTCATCGCCGCCGAGGGCGAGATGAACGCCTCGAGGGCATTGAAGGAGGCATCGCTGGTGATTGCCGAATCTCCGTCCGCGCTGCAGCTGCGCTACCTGCAGACCCTCAACACCATCGCCGCCGAGAAAAACTCGACTATCATCTTCCCCCTGCCTCTGGAGATGATGCAGGGCTTTTCCAAACGTTAAGCATCCATCCGGCCCCAAACGTGCACGCAACAAGCATTCACATCAAAAACATGGGAAAGTGACCTTACATACATTCACATACTTCTTATGTAATGCCTGATGCTGCAGTTTTGCTCCAACCACTGCCCGCGTAGATTTTATTGTAGTTGTTTTGAGATTTTCACTGCCCGCATAGATTTTATTGTAGTTGTTTCGAGGTTTTAACTCGCTACATGCACCTTGTTTTTATCATTGCATGGGTTTTTTTTTTTTGCTAACGTGTTTCCACATCTTCTAACCGTGTTTGTAGGCTCTCCGTCCATCCATTTTCTAATTCGCTATTCCTCATAAGGGTCACGGGCGCGCTGGAGCCTATTCCAGCTGTCTTCAAGCAGTAGGCGGGGGACACCCGTAACCGGTTGCCAGCCAATCGCTGGGCACATATAGACAAATAACCATTTTCGCTTACAATCATACCTATCAACAATTTGGAGTGTGCCATTAACCTGCCATGCATGTTTTTGCAATGTGGGAGGAAACCGTAATACCCGAAGAAAACCCACACAGGCACTGTGAGGCCAAAGTGCTAACCAGCCAGCCACCGTGGCATGGAGGCTACTGTCCGGTGGGCTACTGAAATGTCAAATTTCTTGTAACGGCAATGAATGATGCCTCACAAACAAAAGCCAATACTCGATGTGAAAATCATAAGGTTTTCCAAATGAACTGCAGTTACACGGACACGCTTGCCCTCGAATAGCTTTATAGTGAACATAAAAAGTAGTTGAGACTAAAAATTAATGCCCTACGCTTTTTACACCACAGTGCCACCTGCTGAAACTCCCTCAGCCTTAAATTCTCAAGTCTTTCTCACGAATAAATGATCGAGCCACGTCTTTAGTACTCTGTACAGTTTTAGAGCCATACCACGCGTTCACGTAGCAGTGATGTAACACATAGAAGAGTTCATGCTAACCTGCATGAGAAATCCTTAAGTATAGAGAATTTGAAGAGTGCCATACAATTAACAGTATTGTTTCACAAGATGTATTTGTCAATACTTCTGTTACAGATCACAGTTCAACCTAGAGGTGACACCCATGTTTTAATCAGTAGTCAACACTGTATATGCTGCTTATTTAGCTGGATTCTCATATAGCTAATGTCATCTTAAGATTTTTTTATTGTAATTTTTTAATAGGTGGGGGCGGGGAGCTCCCCTGCAACGTAGACAAGCCATACATGTGTAGTAGATTATTGCTTCATGGGAGCGAATGGTCCCTAAGAATGCTCCCCCGCAAAGCAAAAAGCCTTAATTTACTGCCATGGATTTATTTGAGCTCTTTTTCTATGCAGTTTCAAATGTAACATCAGAGTTTTTACTTTGCTTATTATTCAGTCAGACAATTCCTCTCTCAAAAAGTTCAAAGAGCATTTGTATTGGGCTGTCTTTAAAGTTGAATTGTCGTGTTTGAAATGTGATGTGACCAGTAGCTGTTACAATATGGAGCAAATTTCTAACTCGATAGCTTTACTAAATCATTCAGGTGTGCGCGCATGTGCAGCTTTGAGAAGTTGTATTACTCTACGTTGCTACAGTACCCATTATATTGTCACACTGCAACTGTTAGGTTCATGTTACATTTTTTGGGGTTACGGTAGAATTGCATCCGGTGTGTTTTGCCCATTCGCAACAGCATTCGTCCGAATGAAACGCTAGTGATGAAAATTGGGGAAAAAAATGCTATTGTCTTGATTTTTGTTAATGTTAAATGATGTAAATGTTAATTTACATTATTTGAAACCTACTGGGCATGGAATTTTCTTTGCAGTAGGAAGTCTTTTTTTTTTTTGTTTTGTTTGCTGTTTTGTACAATATTTAGGATTGAAGACTGTTCTGATCCCAAAGCTGGAAATTTAATGCAAGTCCATTTTTGTTATGATTTTTATCTCACATTATTAAAAATGCTATTAAATCTTCAATCAAGAGATTTGGATTTAATTTTTTTTTTTATATAGTAAGACACACACAACTTTTAATTTAATTTTATTACTGTGCCGGCATGCAGCGAGACCTAAACTGGCAAAAACTGTAGACGACTCCTGCTTAAAAACATTTGCCATCCTGACCAACTACAATACAAGGCATTCTATTACTTTGCTGGCTGTGTTTAGGCATGTGTCCAAATATAAAATACATTTAAAAAAAAAAAAAAAGAGATTGCACTTCAACAAAAACCCTGCATGAAGCCAGCCTGCACAGCATGACTATGCTATTTGATTTTAAAAGCAAATGAAGGCCACCTTGTGAGGCAACAACTAACTTGTTTCTTGACATAGCGACAAAAGTCTCGGCATACTAAGAGCTAAAATCAAAAACAGTCTTCAGCTTGCGGAGGCGGCGAAGTGTCAGGTGCTATTAGGATGGTGAGGTGTGGCTCAAGTGTGAGCTCACATGGCCAGTTCGGCCATGGCCCGCTCCAGGGGGTCGCTGGTCCAGTAGTCGTGGTCCCAGCCCAGGAACCAGCCGGTAAAGGTGGGCGGCTCGAAGCACTGCTTGATCTTCACGATGGGCGTCCTGCGGTCTCTGTTAGCCGGGTCTGTCTCGATGTAACGCACCGCTGAGGGCAGAGATATGTTAATACTTTGCGACAGACAACGATTTCCGTTTATTCAGCTTAGCGACTAGCAACTTTATGAGCTCACCTGCCCAAAACGCACTCATACAGTAAAACCAGGCGAATAGTCAAAAGCCACGAATTATTGATGCTCTTAAAAATGTTTAGAATTGCAAAGATTCACTATTTAATCTGTAAATATACCACAAAATATCGCAAAACACTTTAATACCATTTAAACTCATGACCGAAAGATGATTTGATTGAGGGGGAAAAAAAATGCATCATCAAATCAATCAGCAAAGTTTTGGAGTGGTCTCTAAATTAGTTTCCAGAGCTGTTTATACAGTATATCGAGTGGACCATGAAGATGGTCTTACCAGATGCCATTGCTTCGGTCTTCTCTTCCTCTTGGGCCTCGTTGCCGATCCAGACAAACACCTTCACAAAAGGTTGGAAGTACAAAATGCATGACTCATTCGCATTTCCTTTGGATGCTTTTTTTCCTTCATTGTCTCTAAAAATGTATTGTTCTGCTTTCCTAACCTGCTCCCAGGTGTCCAGGATCATGACATCATCAGTAGCCAGGTCATCCTGGGTCAGCTCTCCGGGCACCTCTTCAATCTGAAAGAAAAATATTGATTGAAGTTATATATATGTGGAGCAGACAAGCTTGACTCAAGAGTGTGTGGGGGGCAGGGGTCCATCTTACAATGAAGTTTCCGGTCTTGTTAGAGCAGGCAAAGAGTCTAGGAGGATGGGCGTCCATTTTGTCCCGAAGTCTGGTCGAAGTGCGATATTCTGTCTTTCCTCCGAGAGCATCCCAGAACTCACCTGTGATTGAGACACACATGCTTTGACTATCAAACAGGTACTGTGGCCGACTCACTCAACTTCATGTACACTATTGAGCCAGAACAGAAATTATACATGAATAAAAACCAAAAACGTATACATCTGTAAAGTTGATCTAGTCTATTTAGTTGAACACAAAGCTATGTTTCTGTAGTATGAATGGCGACCGGTGGGTGAACAATTATTTCATTGTTCTGCCTGTCACAATACTTCCACAGCATTGATAGGTGAACAAAGACACATCTGCAGAAAACTCAGTGATAATTTTCTGACGAATAAAGTGAATTGGGACAACACAAATAAGATGCAGCATAGTGGTTGGGATTCCATGTAGTACGGGACTTGCTTTGCAAAAATGATTGTCCTTTGTTCATTCTCAACTCAACCGTATTTATAGAGCACTTTAAAACAACCACCGCTGTACACAAAGCGCTGTACATGGAACCAAAATAATTTCAACAATAGATTAATCACAAAGACAGTAAATACAAAAACAGTCAAACTAAAAATCAAGTCTCACGGTGAGTCAAAAGCCAAAGAATAAAAATGAGCTTGAAGATGAGTTTTAAAGATTGGCCGTGAGGGGTCTTGCCAAATGTTCAGTGGGAGGTCATTCCAAAGAGAGGGACCAGCAACGGAAAAGGCTCGATCGCTTGAAGCCTCTGCTTAGTTGTCAGTACCTCTAATAGTGTCTGGTCCGCAGGCCTGAGGCAACGGGCAGGTGCGTAGGGGCGGAGGAGCTCAGAGAAGTAAGGTGGCGCGAGGCCGCTGTACATGGAACCAAAATAATTTCAACAATAGATTAATCACAAAGACAGTAAATACAAAAACAGTCAAACTAAAAATCAAGTCTCACGGTGAGTCAAAAGCCAAAGAATAAAAATGAGCTTGAAGACGAGTTTTAAAGATTGGCCGTGAGGGGTCTTGCCAAATGTTCAGTGGGAGGTCATTCCAAAGAGAGGGACCAGCAACGGAAAAGGCTCGATCGCTTGAAGCCTCTGCTTAGTTGTCAGTACCTCTAATAGTGTCTGGTCCGCAGGCCTGAGGCAACGGGCAGGTGCGTAGGGGCGGAGGAGCTCAGAGAAGTAAGGTGGCGCGAGGCCATTTAAAGATTTGAAAACAAATAATAGGATCTTAAAAATAACTCTGAAATGTATCGGGAGCCAGTGAAGGGATGCCAGAGTAGGAGTTATGTGCTCCCTCTTACGAGTACCATTCAAGAGGCGAGCAGCAGCATTCTGGACCAACTGGAGACGCTTAATGGCTGACTGCAAAGTAAAGTGCATTATTGCAATCCAGTCGGGATGTGACGAAGGCATGAATGATTGTTTAAAAGTACTCTTGAGAAAGGAGAGGCGTGACTATAGCCAGCTGCCTAAGATGAAAGAAGCTGGGTTTAACAATGGCACCAATTTGCCAATTCAATTTAAAATCGTCATCCGGTTTATGACCCAAGTTCGAGACTGTTGGGAGCAAGACTCATTACCTGTCTCCCCACCCTCAGCCAGTTCCGAGGGCGACACTCCCAGGATACCACACAGTTGATGGGCTCCCGTCTTCTCAGTGTCACTGGCACCGACTCCCACCCACAGGAAGGAGCCTCCGGGGCTCACCAGAATGAAAGCATCATTGGAATTCAGATTGGCTGCCACTGCATCAACCTAAACATACACGTATGTTGATGTTCAAAGATGACCCTACAATTTTGCATGAACATAACAGTTCAGACCTTTTTGGACACACGGTTTACAAAATCACCGTTTCTGATGTCTTACCTCCACTGCTCTGGTGTGTCCGGCGGAGTTGGAGCGCACCTGGAAGAGGCGAGTCTCTGCAGGAGCTGACTGACCTCCTTCTCTGGACGTCCCACCCTTGTAGACCACCATGGGCTGTCCTCCAAATAGACTCATCAGGTGGGCCGGCTCCTTACCTTGCACCACCCTCACCTGACACAAATGCCAACAGCGTAGGGCTCATTAATTAGCACGTTCGTGCACTGATTCCTTGTTCATCCGATCTCATGCTTTCGTGTTAGTTATCTTGCAGTCTACAAAATCTAATTTCTAACAATGTGGCCACAGACGGGGAGCATCAATCGAAATTACGATTCACTCTGTCGGTGGGTGCCAAGATTTCTTGAATGGGTGCATTACTATATTGTGAATCTCTTTGGTCAAGTTAAATTGGAAACACAAAGTGAACTTCATCAGCCCCGAGGCCAATCACAATGCTTCAAAAAGTCTAAATAGAGTCATGCAGTTGAGTCACACCAATGAATCGTTGCTTGTAAAAGTTCATTTTTGTACCCTTTCTGTGCATCAAAGCTGGATAGTAATCATTTTAATGTAATTTCTTGGGCTCTCTTCGTTGATTAACATAACAGTTTAAAAAAATTAAGTATATCACCAAAGCCACATTTGAAATTCCAATGCCCCAATTTTTTTTTTTTTTTTTTTTTTTTTAAATACAGCATATTACACTGCGTACCTGTGGTTTGTCATATCCTCCATTATTTGCTGAAAAAGTCACAATTCCACAGTTTTTGTATGTGGGTCTAATATAAAAGGTTCCTTGGTGCCGTCTGGCGGCATTCTGATGCCAAGCAATTATGTCGAACTGAGTGTGGAAAGGAGCTTCTTTGGTTGGGCCATAGCTTTGCCTGATGGAAAAAATGCTTTGCTACCATCTAGTGGCAAACCTTTCGGGAGACCATCACTTCCTTGTGGATTTTCCACGTTCCTGCACATCGTTGATAAGCGAGGTGTTACCGTGTTTGTTATTTGGCCAACAATCACACTAAAGCTGGAATTGATTTTGATTACATCTTATGCATTCTATTTGATGAAAAGTGTATGCTTGGTGTGGTGTTGTGTGAGTAATGTAATTTTAGTCTGGACGCGGATTACAAGACATTTACAAGACACCCGCTGTCTGCGATATCCCTTTATAGGATTAGGAACCATATTTGGTACCACACATCTTACTATCTACATATGAATAGAACCATGTGATTTTGCCCGGCCATCAGCAAAGAAAGCTATTTTAACGTTCCATCAAAGTTCAAATGAATATATAAATATGTACTGTAGCTAATATATCAATACATGAAAAGAGAGAAGAAATAACTAACGATAAATGAAAATGTATGATCCTGGCATATAATTTACGTCACGGTTGAAAACAAGTCCTGTTTAATTATCTGTGATTCTATTTTTGAGTTTCCAACTGTTGAAATGGGTGCCCTGTGAAAGTGAGAGGAGGGATTTTGGAAAATGGTTTTCCGGTTTTACACACTGTACATGCAATTGAGGTGCAATCTAATGTCCACATACATGAAGCATGCACGTGGAAATGACACAAGTACACAGTGAGGTGAAAATGAAGACAAACTGGAGCCATGAGTGTCTCACATGCTCAAAGCGAGGACTGTGTTGTTACTCTGTTGACTACGTCTTTAGATTTACTGTAAACCTTAAAGCACAGGTGTGAAAGTCAAGGCACGGGGGCCAGATCCGGCCCGCCACGTCATTTTATGTGGCCCGCAAAAGCAAATTGTCTGTGGCAACTTCTATGATCCTTGCTCAAATCTGTACCGAAATCTCAAATTGTCATACGTAATAAATAATGGTAACATTTCACAATAAATTTGTTACCCTGGTTACACTCACTTGAGCAATAATTGAACAAATATTTGACTGATTTCTAAACTAGTTAGCTATCATTTTTTTGTGTACAAGTAACAGTACGATGTGATCATTAAACATTTATTCGGTTTCACTGTCGTAACGGCCCTCCGAGGGAAGATTTAACTTCAAAGTGGCCCGTGACAAAAATGAGTTTGACACACCTGCCTTAAAGGCACCAAATGAGGCATTATCACACGATTGTAGGACTGAAAAATCGATTCGTTCTATGAGTGAAATGGGTGAAGTGTGAACAGCTATATACTCTCTAAAGCAGGGGTGTCAAACTAATTTTTGTCGTGGGTCATATTTTAGCTACCATTTCCCTTGAAGGGCCGTTATGAGTGGAACCATGTCAAGAAGTCAAGGATAACGGTTTACTCCACTTTTGTTTACGTTACTGTCATGATGGGTTTGGTCACATGACAATTCTTACAATGTCCTTCTTATGTATTACAGATCCGAATTTTAAATTTTGGTAGAGATTTTACCTAGCATTATGGAAGTTGACATGTTTCATTTGCTTTTGCGGGCCACATCAAATGAGGTGGCGGGCCGGATCTGGCCCCCGGGCCTTGAGTTTCGACACCTGTTCTCTAAAGTGTCGGTAAAATTTTTTCACTGGCTGTGGACAAGATAGACAAAACTAAGTTTGAAAAGAAGAATACCTGAGTAGTTATAGGAGCACCGACAACCTGAGAAAAAAGAAGCGGCGTAAAATTGAGGGGAGGAAAGAAGCGGCAAGTGAGAGAGAAGGCGAAAGGATGGAAGATCAGACGAGGAGGAGGGCCTCATTGGGAGCCAAAAAAAAAAGGAATGCTGACAATGTGAGTGACTAAAAGTGTTTGAGATTATGAACATAAAAAGTTTGTTCTAAGTTATTAAGGGTAGGGCGAGCGCTACCTGCAAGGGCCTCATTGGGAGCCAAAAAAAAGCAACGCTGACAATGTGAGTGACTGAAAGTGTTTGAGATTATGAAAATAAAAAGTTTATTCTAAGTTATTAAGGGTAGGGCGAGCGCTACCTGCACGGGTCCGCCACCAAGCTCGTCATCCAGCTGGGCGCTGAGGATAGCGCAAGCCCCAATTTCATCCTGGCTGGAGTCTATGCCCTGCCTGGGAAGAAGAACCACAATCATTACAGATAAAAAATGTGACTTGAATTACATGCGACCACACTCCTATAGCTTGGCAAATCAAGATGATGATGTTTTTTTTTTCTATTGACAGAGTTTGCATGCTCATCATTCTCACCACATGTAAATGATATGTCCACTCCGTCCTCCGTGATGGTAGTTATACTGAATGATGTAACTGTCTCCTCCGAAGAACTGGCCATAGGTAGACTCGTCTACTGGCACCTTGTCAGATCCCTCGATACGCCAAATCTGTCAGGAAAGACGCAAGATTGAGCTATTGCGGGACACGTCATACAACTGCGCAGTCTAATAACACAATTAGAGGATTGTGTGAGTGAACGCAGAGGAGTATAAACCAATGTTTATGAAATTATTTAGCAGATTTATATTACTTTTTGGGGTTTCTTCAATGTAAGCATGTAATTTTTTTGCAGAGGGGGGGGGTCATGTTATCTTCAGCTGAGGTTCAAGAAACTAACAAGCCCATTTCGACAAAGAGTAGAAAGTACACATTTCAGTTTTCAAACGGAGAGAAAGTAAAAAGCAATCAGAAAAATAAATACTCTTGTAAAATAAAAATATCTGAAAAGTCGGGCAACAAAGTATTTGTCCTTTGTTAATTCCCACCAATGTGTAGCAGTATTAATTGAACACTATGTTATTCGCTTGCCATGGCAGAGATCTGTACTGCATCATTCAAGTATTTTCCTCCCTCATATCTTGAAATACGGCAACCTATCATTTGGAAACACAGCCAGGATTTAACGACGACCACAATAACTGACAAATTGTGAATTGAATAGCTAGCTGTCTGTTTAGCTTTAGCACGTTAGCGACTGTTTGGATTGACCACAATGGCTGATCATTAAATGCCACTTTTCATGAAACTTCACACCTGGAAGAGGAGCTTGAGAGCAGAATCCTCACTTATTTTTAAATGTTTGAGTAAAATCAAGCCTTTTGTGTCTAACAGTGTCCACACTGACGATTCTATCGGTAAGGTATTCAAGTCAGACGAAACTCCACACCTGCTTATCTCCGCTGCCGTCATCCACCATCCCGTGCTGGGCGGCCATGGCGGGGGAGTCGTGCAGGCAGGAGGCGTCGAAGGGCACCTTCTCGATCTTGGCGATGCTGTTGGCGATGTAAGCCACACCCAAGCCCACCGTCTGATCTTTGTCCCTCCAGTTCTTGAAGAACTGCTTGAAGAGCGGCGTCTCGCCCATCTCGGGCAGGACCTGCACTTGGGTGTGTTTGGGGTAGCCCATTTTCTTGATGAACTCCTCAGCAGCATTCATCGACGCCTTTCGCTCATCCATGTTGGCGCCTTGACCTTTGATGTAAAGAGAGAAAGGAAAGCTCTGGAGAGGACTGAGGGAAACACTATTCAGAGCATGGGAACCAAGCCCTGGCACGAATAGTGGAAAAATGGAAGCAATCAATGCAACCTGAAATGTTCATGAGTACCTAAATTAATAATTTAATGGGTAAATATATCACACTGGGATCCCAACAAACTTAAATATCACTTGAAAGTCATCGATCTTACATTACCTTTGAAAATAAATTGCTTACAGATGATCTGAAAAAAAAATGCAAACATGCAGTAAAGACTTTCCGCTATCAACCCAAGCTAAAGTGATCTCTTCCCCAACATAAAAAGCTTGTCTCTCAGTCAAGATGAATCACTTCAACGGATTTTTACGGCAATGTACACCAGGCGGGGCTTTGATGTCCTCTTGTGCCATCTTGCGGCATTTCAGAAAGAGCACAAAAATCACTTTTCTTCTTGGCGAATTCATGAATAAATGACCGGCGAAAGTGCGGCTTATGACCACATTTGGTCAAAACAGATCATGGCTTGACAACCACACCTCTACCTTACCTTTCCATACGTAGATCTTGCCGTCAGAGCCGTGGTCCAGAATGAAACAGTCACCCGTGTCCAGGGCGCTTTGTGGGAATGGGTTCTCTTCAGCCACCATTGCAATCGTCATACCTCCACTGGCATTAGAAACCTGCCATACAAGGTGACATGGAATCCATTTTTACAGCAGTGATGGGAAACTGCTATCCTATCTGGGGACAGCTCACTTTTTATAAAGTCCTCAAGAGCCAAATTACATTAACTTGGGTGTGTGTGTGTGTGTGTGTGTGTGTGTGTGTGTTTTTTTTTAATAAGATGCAACCATCAATCACTTGTTCATTATCATGTATTATGAACGTTTATATTTGAGCTATTTTCATCACAGTAGAGGTTTTATTTGTTCCGAGAATTTCATGGTGGGTTGGATCACATCTTTGTGCTCAATACAAAAGTACCACCCCCCTTCACAAACTAAACGGAAATGAGCTACAATGGTACTCTTGAGCGCAAACAATTTAAGTTTTGATCAGTATCAAATTGCACACCTTCACAGATTCCCACGCACCACGTCCCTTGTGCCTCATTCGCTAACGTCATTTGAAATCCATTGTGTCCGTCTTGCATAATCTTGCTAACCAACACGGAAGTGATGCAACCATTTATTGCTGCCCGCAAAGAACCCATTGCACATACTGTGTAAGAAGCACACTGTTGTAGAAATGTGCACGTTGACATTGTCAATATTCTGAATAATTGTCATATGACAATTCAAAGGGAAATGAAATGAACGGTTTATTTGATAACGTTCTCATCATTGTGAACATGCTTTGCGAGATGTACCACAGTGGGCTGCGATGCCCATTTTTCAAAATCAAGACTTACTTGGTGAGGGGTCGTTTTCTGTAAAAGGTGCTGATAGTGTCATCTCATGCTCCAAAGCCAACAGGATTTTCAATGACTACTTCTACTCCATTTTGAATATGTAATATTTTCCAATAATATGGAAGTACTTATTATATTTCGTACATGGATATCTCTATAAACATTCATAAAAGCTATCCAACAAACCCAGTACAGTCAATATTACAATCAACATTACAACATAATTGTAGTTAAAGCACTCTTACTAACTCACAACAATTTGCATGAGTGGTTCTGAGTCTATATTGTATTTTACAAAACCGCCCACCAAAAAGAGGCTTCAGTCCAGCAAACAATTATTTTCAGTCACCGCAAAAAGAAAACAGAAGTACCTTGTAGAGTTTGGCCCTCTTCCTGTTGGAGGCATCGGCCTTGATGTCGTCAGAAGTTCCAAGAGGCAGCTCTGGTTTTTCTCCTAAAACCTGAGGCCAAAAATGATTTCAGTGTGTTATACGCACTCACTTAGACATACACCAGTATGATCAAACAACATCTGATACAAGAACGACTCTGTACATATATAAAAAGGGTAGCGGGGGTGACCTCAGTTTTGATTGGCCATGTACAGGTATGAGGGTTGGCCATGGTATTATTTTTGAAACTTTTGATTCGTGGATTGCATTACATTGTGCATATGTACTTACTGTTGTTGCTTCTGACAGTACGGTGCCAGTACAAAGAAGAACCTCACCTCCATCATCTTTTCTCTCTCCATACCCTCGTCACAGACATAGACGCGGGCCCTCCCGCTGCGCTCATTGTCCCGGATCCCCTTGGCGACCTGTGTGGCCTTCAGCTTCTCAAAGCGGTTACTCTGGGAACCACACCACTGGTAAATCTCCTGCGACGCATGAAGGGGGGGAGGAAAAGTAAGTTTACGCAATCCAATGGACCCAAACAGCTTCCCCCATTTTCAAAACCGACACCCCAAAGTGACTCACAGCTCCCAAGTCCAATATGAAGCAGTCTCCTTGGTTGAAGCTATCCCAGCTGACCGGCACCTCTGTTGCCCTGACAACATGACGACCTTTGACCTGGAGCACTCGCTGTACAACCACCTCATTGGTGACGACATGCTTGAACCCTGATGCCACACCTCCTTTCTGGTAGATAAATGTTTCACAATTAATGACTGGCTGCCTCTCGATATCCGGTATGACAAAATAATGTGTGCTTCAGCATTTGGTTGATGGGTGAATTTTGTTTGACGTCTGACAGAAGATTCATTGATATTAAAAATAAATAAATAAATAAATAAAAAGATATTAAACAGCAATGTAATTTCCAAGGGGGATGCACACACCATACACGTACTGCAATACTGTAAATGATATAAAAAAATGAATATTATAATTCAGTGCAATTAAAAAACTCCAATTAAATACACCGGCATAGCAAAGCAGCACACCACATTACAATACAAATGAGCGAAAATGAACAAACGTGCAGGGTGTAACATAAACGAGTTCAAGTCTCACCATATACTTGATCCCAGACTTGAAGTAGCCAAGAAAAGTTTTGGACTCATGGCCCTGGACTTCCCGATACTGGATGGGTTTTCCTCCCAGGAAGTCATCCATTTGGACTGTGAAAATGGCCGCCGAGCCTCTCTCATCCGCGGTGCAGAAATCGCCTGCGTAACAACAACGACAACACAGACTCCAGTTTACCCCGACAGTGTTTTAATTTTCATTTCAAATCGGACACAGGCCACCACAGGGCCAAACCTTCATATGTCATATCGATGGGAAAAAAACAAAAACACTTAACCACTCCCTGTACTGATATGAATCTTGTTTGTTTGAATACTAATGTGCTTGTTGGAAAAAGTCATGAAGCATATCTACTTTCAGAATTTCTCAAATTAACATTGTTGACTTTCACACACACACACACACACACACACACACACACACACACACACACACACACACACACCTGCAATAGTTAACAAATAGTCCCCTTTAATAGGCCAAATGATCTTTGTTAATTCTGCATTTGGGAAAGAACATGTTGGTCTCTGTGCACTCACCCAACCAGAAATGGAGGTCATACTGCAGGTTTCCTGAGCGTTGCTTGATGGTGTTGAGGATGATGTATGCATCTCCTGTGTAAAATCCTCCATAAAGGTTCTCAGGAACAGGCACCAGGTCAAAGTTCTCCACCCTCCAAACCTGGAGGCCTGGTTTCTTTCCAGCCCGCTCAAACTCTGGGTGCTGTGCCATTCTACCTCGGGAGGAAAAAAAAAAAAAAATCACAAAATTTTTCTTTTTGCTCCTTTGCAGATTTGAGCATACAGATGTGTAGTCCTGGTGGTGGGACTCTGTGTGGACAAACACTGCCGAGGTAACAGTCTAGCTCTGTAAAAAGTGAATCTTAGCCCCTCCTACTTATGAGCCACACCAGCTTGGAAACCACTCCCATTAAGGCTGAGCTGTTGCCATGGAAACAAAGATACACTTTGAGCTATAGTTGGATATTAGTGCACAGCATAGTGAATCACGGGTGCCCTGTGCTTGGGTGTTTCCCCTTGTAGAAGGAAGCTTTGGATATTATGACTCAGACAGTCTGACGGAGAAGTTCCAAACAACCATATGGAGCTGACTTAAACCCATTTATTCTATATTTTATCTTTAGCATATTCCAAATTTGCACATCTGCACCACACATGAGTGTATTCATGTGGAAACAGAATAACCGATGGATTACAAGAGGGCTCAGTTTATAATTTTGCCTGTCAGGAAATGCTAAATGTGAAGTCCAGATATTAAACTTTGAATTAAAGAATTGTCCAGAAAATGTATCATTGAGCAATTACAGCGAATTGTTAAGTATTCAAACAATGTTAATCCATTTGGACAATAATTTTAACCCTTTCAGGGGCAGCGGTTACTACTGTGGTCAGTTTATCATGTTAACAGGTTGCATGACAGGGTTAATCCAATTTTGCAGCAAATGCAACCCGCCCACTTCCCCTACCTTGGGACCAGCGATGGCGTGGCACTGGCTGTAAATAACACACACGCAATCTGCATGAAAGGCAGCAGCGAGTACAAACAAGGCAAAGCCCAAGTTTGACTGAAAATCCTTTCGAGGACTGTGAAAGTGGGGACACTGGTCATCAGCAGAATTCCTGCCAAGCGATGCATTGCCAGGCCTTTGCTGCAGCCATCTTGATTTTCTGCTTGTTTACCACTCTTGCTGCCTTCGCTTTTGTACTTTTCAAACTAAAAAGCACACTCTTTTGTGTTGAGGTTGGACTTAATCTGGTTTCAAGTGACATCTCAAGTTCTCCGCTTCAATCAAACATATCTCTCATTTTAAATGTGTTAAATCTATCGTGGTGTTGCACGTAGCCTGTAGCTAATAGGAACAGAGTATAAGCATGAACATTTACAAGTGTTGGGGGGGGGGGGGAACGGGACAAAAGTAACACGTTATAGGAATATATTACATTAAGGTGGGAGTGGAGTAATGTAACGCGTTACTATGTAACTGGTGCTGTTTGGGCTCCAGCTCACCTGTGACCATAGTAAGGACACGCAAGTATAGAAAATGGAATGATGGATGAATGGAAAATGTACTACTGTGTATTACCTCATCTAAATGGTCACATCAAAACACACACACACACACACGCACACCCACTCATCCCTCACCATTTGTGAAAGTGTATGAAGATACATGGCGCCAGTCGAGTCAAGAGATTCAAGGAGGTGCCTGCTTAGTGGCATGTGATGTTTAAAATAGGAGAGATGTTGCCTGACCTTAGTGTTTCAATTTTTTTCCCATCTAATCATTGTCAGTTAACTAAATAAAGGATTAAGGGTTTGGCTTGTTTCGTGGGATAAGGGCTTCTACAAAGGCATGACATGGGTTTAGCTTTTGAAGGCAAATAACATGACTTGAAGAATGTTAGCAAGAAACAAAAACCGGTATAGCCCTCATGGCTCGTGTTGCACCCTTCCATTCAGCTACTGCACATGAAAACAAGCCCTTTGGTGTTTTGTCATACTTTTGCAGAAGAAAACACGACGTCATTGGAGAGTAATCAAAGTAACATTAAACTGATTTCGTGATCACTGTGGATCAGTCATTCAACGAAAAATATGTACAGGTAAATAAAAATAAATAAAAAAAACAACAAAAAAAAAAAAACATGAAAAATGCCAATTTCCAGGAACATTTTCTCTGCACAGTGATCTACTATGACTTAATGGAACTTGAGTATGTATTTAACCGCCTCTGGCTATAACAGCCACGAATGCTTGTGTGAAAATTACATAATTCCCTCTGAGATCGTGAACAAATACAAGTGGTCACAGAAATGTTTTCAGCAGACTAGCTTGACTCTCTTACTTGGCAGAGTAAACACTGGAGAGTGTAAACAAGTTCTCTGAATTGAAGCGGTGTTAGCAAATTAGATTTGGAGTTTTTTTTTTTGTTTTTTTTTTTTTTAAGTTAGCCTTCCCTACACAATTTCAGCAACATGGTTCAGTTAACTAACTGATTCACTCGTTTAGCTCAAGATGTCATCATAACACCTCAAGTACTCTGTGTTTCGCAACTAAGAGCATTTTCTTTTTGCTAGTTTGGTCCAAACAGGACACACACACACACACACACACACACACACACACACACACACGGACACACACGCACACACACACACAACTGATTTTGGATCTGGTCCTCCAGAGTTCTGCTGCCTCCCTCCGTGCATGTGTTACCGACCAGGAGTTAACACCGTTACAAGAATCGTTCAGCTTTCAAGGTGGCCATCGGACCACAAGCATGCGAAGCATCCCCTGCCCACTCTAGAAGCACAAATGGAAGCAAGCTAGTGGGGGCACTCATGCGTCCAGGCCAACAAATTTATTTTCCACTATTTCCGCTTCTCTTGCGAAACAATGAAGGCGTCTCTGTGCGACAATTTGACCGCATAACAGTGTCACATGGAAAAGCGATTAGTAGACACTAAAATCGAGAGGAAGTTAACATTTTTCTTTGCAATAATATGTTCTATTTGCCCCAACTAGCATTTGTAGATGAATCCACCCGTTTTGATCAATCAATGTTGGGCAGGGCAGCCATTTTATCCTGCACAGCCCCTTACCGTCAACTGAGAGTGATGTCATAGTGCCCTCAAGCTCGCTTTGCTAACATCACATGCCCAAAGCCAGAAAACAAGTAAGTCGCAAAGTGAGACTTTTTAATATGTAAAGTGCAGTTTTTAGTTTGACATCAACTTTTTGGTCTTATGAACAAATCAAAGGAATTAATCGACCTGCCAACAGCAGTGGACATCTTGTCATCTATTCCTATGCTACCATATTATTTTGTGATAGTATGACCTGGGCTGTCTGTAGTTGAGTATTTACGTAGGATATTTAAAACAGCGTACTGAAATGCCCAGAGGTACACAAAGGAATATTTTGATGCACTTAGTGCAAATAACCTTTTGCTATCTTGAACTCTACACTTCTGTAGTTAATCCGTTTCATTCAGTCGTACTGTAGAGTACTGATCCTCATATATTAAATACAATGAACAAACTCTGATTCTATAACCGTCTATTGCTACTTCCTAAACATACGCGGAACAATGGTGATACCAGTATGTTCCAAACTACTAGCTATAAATCATCAACTTCTGCTTTAGTGGCTGTAAAAGTCACTCACCACCGACACGCCCAACAATCTGATTACCAAATGCAAACAAAGATCTAAGTGGAAACACAAGATCCTTGTTGGACATGAGGGCAGATGTTTGGCAGAGAATGTTAACGTGACACTTTGAAAATTAAGGACTGAAGTTCCATACTCATGTTTTTGCTGTTAAATCTGCATAGTATAAATTTACGGTCTCTGAAATAGCACCATGGGAGACTCTTCAAACTCAGTGACACATGTCGCTATTGGCATGCATGGCTAAAAATAGAATTCTTCGAAAAAAAAGTCTGGAGACTTACACGACTCTATGTTGTGCAGCTTTGGGTTTTGACGAGCTTCAGACTAAACGACAAAAAAACCACCACGGCAGCCTTTGACTGCGATCATACACGTAGCCCCCGATGGAGGAAAGTGTTCTGCCACTTCGCTGAGAACCAAAGCCCCCACCTCCCACCCCCCGAGTAAGACACTAGCTTTGTCAGTCCTAATAAAGCAAACATTAGGGGGTATTCGTCATGCCTGAGGAACTTAACACTTTAAAAAAAGAAAAATCAAAGACTGAAAAATATGTCTGAACAATGAGCATGGGTGAGGTAGAGCTTTCCCAGCTGACTGTGAGTGAGAGGCAGGGTATGTGATAGACTTCGATGGCAAACGCCACACAGTAAAGCCTGAAAGTCAAACCTAGAACCTCTGCCCTGCGAGGCAGTGCTAACCACACTCCTACCCTGCTGCTCAAAAACACCAAAATAAACCAAGTGAGTTCCTGGGCTGCTTATATAAAGCGGTAAATGTTTGGCTGAAGATCCAGTTTGTTTTGGTTACAGCTACTAGCATGAAATTGTACCTCAAAAAAGTAAAGGAGAAACAACTACTTGCTACTAGCATTAAACCACCCCAAAAAAGTCATGGAGAAACAACTGTTTTCCGCAAAGAATCCTAAACGTCTGTGAAACTGCATGGAACGCTCTAACCCCAGGTTAGCCTCTTTGGCTCCAGAGTCCCAACACAATTATTTGGTCCCCTCCCCCATACTTCGCTCACCACAGTCCCTGCTGCAGGCCTCAAAACTGGTGCGACACAAACAGTAGCCTCATACGTCGCAAAACAGCGTGGGTATCAAAACCCTTGTGATTTGTCAGCTGCTGTCCTAGCTGGAAAAAAAACAAAAAACAAGCCCACAATTCACACTTTCATAAACTAACTGCAGCCTTGTGTTGGGATTTTTTCCCGAAATGAAGAATGAAGATGCTGGCTTGGATTGTATAATTGATGACTCACACTATTAGCAATTTGACTTCACCGTATTGTACTTTTCCTCTTTGCCAACACCGTAACATTTAAGTGATAGTATCAAACACACTTCCATCCTATCGATGTCACAAACAAAACGTATCATCGTGTTTTTTAAAATTGGATCAGAATGTAATGCAGTTACGATGATTAAAGATCAGCATTGCTGTGGAGTAACTATCGCAAAGTTCTAAAGTATTTATTACTTTTTAATAGTACTCATCTTAACCCGAAAAGATGTTTTAAATGTCTTATTGGTTTAATATTGGTCTGTATAAGTTTGACACACACCTCAGAACCTTTGGGCAAAAATCTAAACTAAGTTCGTGAGCCGAATAAAAACCTATATTTTGTTTCCTTGGATCCCCTTTGGCACATAAGCAAACTTCCAAATCTTGCACAAGATGGACACAAAGAAAGAATGCAGTTATTTGAAACTTATATCGAAATGTGCAGGGTGCGGATTAACGAGGATGCACGCTTCCCGGACTCACGCCTGAGTGAGGATTTGACGCCGGCCATTCTTATTGGATTGCAACTGTCTATCTGCAATATATCGCCTCCACACACATGTTGTGGCAAACACGACTGTGGGTCACACACTCATCTCGTGGTCGCTGACACGACTTCCTCTGCCTCACTATTTGTTTGAATGTTTCTGTGGAAACAACAGACATCTGCTCTTGTGGGTGGCATGCAATTGGTCAGGAGTGTCACACCATTTCTGATTAGTTCATGTGTTCTTTATCAGGAAAACAAATTGGGCTTTATAAAATGAGGATTTTGGAGGACAAAAACATCATCAATCCGATCAGAAGATGGAATACTCCATCCAAAACATTTAAACAACTTGTTTAGTTACTGTACAGTCGACCCCGGCAAGGTCCACGGATTGCTAAAATCTGCATATAACTGACGCCTACTCAAGTGCATTGGGGGAAAAGTAATCAAAATGAAACTCTAAAAATTCTCTCCAAATTGCAGATAAAGATTCAATGCATGGAAATTGGGGGTGCGGGGGGGGGGGGGGGACCCTGATACCCCGATCCAAAAAAACTCCAAATGATTTAAATATATCCAGGGGAAAAAAAATGTGACTTTATATCCTGTAAAACATTCCTGTGTTTGCTCAAACGTCTACTTTTGTTTATCAGGTCAATGATGTCATTGATCGATTGGCAAAATATGAAAGGCAAAATATCTGCCAATCCGATCCAGCCGATCAATACAGTATGCGTATTGCAAAGACATGCTTTTATCTGACTTTGTCCAACCAGATGCAACTGTGCAGATGAATCACCTTCCAATCGGAAAACAGTATCTTGGGACATTACTAACACACACACACACACACACACACACACACACACACACACAAAACTTAAATATAAATTCATATTGCAATGAAATAAATATCACAATATTCCACACTCATATCACATTTCACATCTTTTTTCCAGTCTCATGCAGCCTTAATACTGTATAAGGACAGTGTCACGTTTACATGGGCATTTCAGTCTTTAATTAATTAACATTAGAAGCATGTTTTGGAAAGTGGAAAGAAATCAGAAAACCTACACAAACAAGGAGAAATTATGATACAGAAAGCCTGGAGATGAGACGTTCATAACACAACCCACTGTCTCACAATGCTGCCATACAAGCGAAACCACCTAATTTTCTGTCTGCATGCAAGCAAGGGGTATGCCCTTATATGGCACTGGCTGCACTACAGAATGAATACGGTTGTTACTACGGCATTGCTACCACTGTTCAATACTTCAGAATGCCAGACAAAGTGGGGCGTCATGCAAAGAAATAAGGCCCGTTTGTTCTCTATTCTTATGCATGGGAGTCGATACATCGTTAATTTGGGGCCGGAACGCTTTTGCTGGAAAGACAAATTTGTCATACCTGACAGATTCCGAGTTGTAGAAAACAAACAGAGAACAAAAGGAGACGAGAGCGAGGCGCGATGGGCACTTGAGCAACAGGCCGGGACCAGACAGGCGTCGAGACGGCGTGCGTGGCAGCTGAGCGCAAAGCCGCTACTTTGGATGTTGTCCCGGGACACTCCCCATTACGACACACCCAGTTTTTGCAGGCCGGCCGGGCCTGCCCAGCACAAGGCGAAGGTTAAGTGCGTGCGCACAAACACGCATGCGCACGCTTTTTCTTTTTCTACTGACATCCCCCTTTTGGGGAGTTTAGTGTGATCGTATTGCATGCTCGAGACACTTTTGCAGTAGGCAGGCACGAGGAAAATTCAAACTTTATTTAGTGATGTGTGATTGACGTCAAAAATATTTCTAGAATTCTACTTCCGGGATGTGAGAAAGCGTTCGTGTTGAACTATGCTGCCCACCAGTGGTCACAGGACAAAGAATAAATAAATAATCCAAGCACGGGATAAATCACGGCACACCACAAAACAAAAACACAAAAACGCATATAGTGATCTCATCGCAAATCCCACTCAAATTTCCTTGAAATCTTGACATATTCAATTGAACACAAAGCAACTACGTTGGATGAATAGCGAAATGGGGACACACATGTTAATTTTACATTCTGCTATATAATGGAGCTTTTTCCTCCCGGTTACTGTGCGCTGCAGGCATAGCTAAATGAAGACAACTATATTATTTGCAGTAAATAATAAATACAACTGAATTTTTGCAGCACACCGATGATACATACCTCACGGCACACTCATGTGCCACGGGCACAGTCGTTGCGAATCACAACTCTAAATTTCAAATTCAAGATAATGACGTTCCTTTCAGGTTGCTTTTTGGAGGGAAAAATAATCAACTAATTATCGCATGAAGATACACAGTAAAGCCATCCTAGGTTTGCTCCTGTCATAACACTGGTCAGCAGCAAAGTTTAATCAAAGATCGCTTTATTTCAAAGAATTAAAAAAATGTCTGTACTTCTTTTGCTCACATAAGGTTTTTGAGCTGTTTCTTTTTTTGTGCTGGTTGATCATCTCGCATACATTGAAGGAGAAAACTCGCAATTTAGTTGAGGTTTAAAATACATATTTTGTGACACCGTTGCTCGAACTTGTGTGACACTTCTGTCTCCCGAAGTGAATATTTTGAATTTGAATCGTTTTAATCATGCAAAGAAAGTACAAGGAGCAAAAGGTGTCCAACAGCTCTTTAATTTGGTATTTCTGCATGTGCCCCAATCTGGGTATTCAAGTGAATGGTGTTCAAATATCGTGACCTTCCTAAATGATGGCCCGAGTCATTCGGGTTTTTTTTTTTTTTCCAGAAAATGCAACAATACTTAGGACCTAGTCCACTGGTGTCAAACTCAAGGCCCCGGGGCCAGATCTGGCCAGCCACATCATTTTATGTGGCCGGCGAAAGCAAATCAAAGATGTCAACTTCCACGATGCTTCATAAAATCTCTACCAAAATTTTTCACATGCCATAAATAAGAGAGACATTGTCAGCATTTTTTGTGACCAAACCCCTCACTACAGTAACTTAAACAATATCTGAATAAACTGTTATACTTGACTTCTTTCTATGGTTTCAGTCATAACAGCCCTCCAAGGGAAACGGTAACTAAAATGTGGCCCGCGAGAAAAATGAGTTTGACACGCCTAATCGAGCCAGTTTCAGCAGAGGTGGCCAGGCAGCATCTTGAGATGTTTCGAAAAAAAAAAAAAAGAAAAGGTAAAATATGTCTAATGCCATTATTTTCAGAGGGTGACGATATTAGCCACAGTGAGATCATTTTGACCGAAGTGCCATTATGCTTCTGGTTTCATTCAGTATTTTTCTCCACAATTATGCGCGCTCATCAGAGCATCTGCCTAACAGCGTGCGCGCGCATTGTAAAGAAGCATTTGTGTGGAGGTGCGGAAGAAGAGAAGGAGGCTGTGGCGGGCGGGCGACAAGTGACTTGTGGGATGACAACTCGAAAAACACACTCAGGAGCGGGAAGTCGAGACGACTATCGTTGAAAACGCCTCGTCGAACGCCCCGACGATCAGGTTCGATCTGCCGGACAGCGGAGATCCATCATAGGAGAAAGTTCAGTTACCCACCACGAAGCAACGCGTGGGAGTGGGAGTGGAAGGAAGGAAGGAAGGATCCCGTTTGACTGAGGCGAGCCCCCAGCCGGTCTCGTCATGGCAGGTAATTTATTTCGGCGGTTCTACATGTAAACATCACGAATATGCCGACGCCCTGGCAACTCCGCCCGGGATGCACAAGCGCCCTCGATCGCTGCACGTTTCTGCGTACGCCCTAGTAGCAGTTTTGGCTAACAGTAGCAGGCTAACACAACTTAGCAAGTGCTAATGCTAACGTTAGCTTGTCAGGAAACTCCGGTGTCATCACGCGTTTGGCCTGAGTGTTATCGACAAGTTCCCTGTGATACAGTGAGGGCATCATTTTAGACATGCACGCCACTGCTAAATAAATTACAAAAGCGACATTTGACACCCTAAAATAAAGAAATGATGTAACATACACATGCTACAACTGTCGTGGTAAGGGACCCTGCAAGCTAACATTAGCTCAAACTTTGACATTGACCACATGCTATTGCCGCAGAGCTAGCTTTTAAATGCTCTGGAGCTTTTGCATTTGACTCAAGATTAAGAATGTACGTGGTCGTGCAAAAATGTTCCCCTGTCGTAGAATATTTTTGCAACCGGATATTTTACTATTGTGCTTTTCATTCATCAGCTGTTAACGTCACGACTTCCGTTGCAATTTGTAATCTCCTCCTTAATGAGCTGTTTAATTGGACAGTTTTGACCGAATTTCGCAGGACTATTTGGTCGTTTGGCATAAGAAGGTCACCAAAGGGATACTGTCAGCAATGCATCGTTTTTTTTTCTTTTTCCCCCCCCCCCTTTTGGGTGGGGAAGTGAGACGGATCCACGGGCATATGCATTGCGTTGCGACGATCTGCTCATCAGATTTTCTTTGGCGTCATAGCAAGCAAATTACTAGTTAATCTTTACTGTTAGACTGATGTCTCCACCCCCGGATCCATTTCTGTTGATAAATCTTTTTGGAGTCACGACTCGGCTTTGATGATGTGAATATGGCAACGGTGATGACTCATAAGTGACTGACTGGTTATTCCCATCCCTGTCCATAACAATTTTTCTTGTAAAATATTGTAATTGTAGCTTGTTTCAATCATTGTTCCTTTGCATAAAATCAATGTATATTTGGTTCCTGAAAACATTTGAGAGATTTTTGACAAAAATGGTTGTTCCGGGGTAGTAACCCCATCTCGGTTACAGAAACTAGAAACAGATAAAAGTAGACACTCAACCAAAGGAAACCAGATAATTCTTTTGATTGATGGTTTTCTTTCTTTAATTTTCAGATTTTTGTTTCAGCGAACAATTTTGTCCATGTTTGTACTTTGTAACTTCAGTTCAGTGTTTATTTTAACTTCCAGGAGCTGGAGGTGACATGCAGTGGTGCTTCTCTCAGGTGAAGGGAGCCATTGATGACGACGTAGCCGAAGGTATGCGCAAAGGCAAAATTTTAGATGGTTTCATTTGTCCAGTTTCTATCAGTTACCAAGAGCTCACAACAGTGTAGCGATAGGACAGTATAATAGCCCTTAAATGCAACTCATTTGTATGTCATCGGCTAGTTGTTGAAGTCCATAACAAGACAGAGCTATTAATACATTCAGTAATCCTCGTGTGGAAGAAGTCCATGGTAAAATTCCAAGAATGGAAAGTTGTGTTTTGGAGTAGCACACTTACTCGAACAATTTATTTGCTGGAGGAAAAACATATTTGCCATTTTGACACCAATTAAAAACAAATAATAATTAATACACCCAAAACCCGATCAGTAGGAAGTTAATAGCCCATCAACCGTTTAGTAAAAAAATTAAAATTAAAATTAAAAAACCCCTGGACCCCATTTACTCAAATAATAAAGAAAATGCTACAAATATTACAAAATAAAAATACATCAGTACATATCAAGTCTGCATCTTTATAAATGACCGACCTCCAATAAATGTTTGGTCCTTTGTTGTTGAGTAAATAAAACCCACTATATATGACAGAGATTTTATTAGTATTTTTAGTTTGTGGCATTTATCCAGTAAAAAAACAAAAAACTAGTGACTCCTTTATTACCTGTATATTAATGTAGGTTAGTCATTGCTTACATGGCCAATGTGGTGCTCCATCCTCAGGCAATCAGTCCACTTCGACCTCCTCGTAAACATTCACGAATCCTTTGTGTGCTGGCATTCTGCTTCAGTGGACAGGAATGGGTTAAGTAAAAATATATGTGAAAAGTGCCTTCCCCTTTATCCCGTCTGCTCTACATCTTCTCTCTCTCTGGCCTACCTTCAATGTATTGCATTAGGATGCCACAACATGTATTTTTTTTTTTCCTTTTCATTTTTGGGTATGGACGGTGGGAGTCTCGCACTACATACTCATTGACAGGTTAAAATTAACTGCTTGAAATTTGGTGAGCGAAAAGGCAAGCTAATTATCCTTCGTCACGTACCAATAACCTGTCAAATGACTGTCGGATAGCCGAAAATGTTTTTTGTTCACCAAAAGTTTGTTCATTGTCATTTTTTTTTTTTTTTTTATATCTTCAGCTGACATCATCTCTACGGTTGAGTTTAACCACACCGGTGAGCTCCTGGCCACTGGTGACAAAGGTGGACGTGTGGTCATTTTCCAACAGGAAATTGAGGTATGACCCAAGGAAATGTTAACACTGACATCAAACAGAAATATGGCTGAAGGAAGTGTTGTAGTGCTCATTTTTTTTGCAACAATGTTATATTTTACTTTATTATAACAGCAACAATTCCTGTCACCATTCTTGCTCTGTCCTTGTCTTATCTGAGTGTCTTCTTCTGATGTTGCCACAGAATAAGAGCATGCCTCAGTTTCGGAGCGAGTACAACGTTTATAGCACTTTCCAGAGTCACGAGCCTGAGTTTGACTACTTGAAGAGTTTGGAGATTGAAGAAAAGATCAACAAGATTCGTTGGCTTCCTCAGAAGAATGCTGCTCAGTTCCTGCTGTCAACCAATGGTAAATTAGTCACGCAGGAATTCTACGAGATGCATTTTGGAACACAGTGCTTGCGGAAGATAAATCAGGCACGTCTTGACTGGAAAAAAAACCTGAATTTGGGATGGTTATCACTGCATACGCAAGGCTATATATCAAGTTTTGGTTATACAGTGTGAACTGAAATTCTGACAAACATACTGTATATCAATCATTTTAGTGGTCGCAGTTCAGTTCATGTCGTTTGCCATCGGGAATGTTGACAATATTTTTTTTCTTTGGCAGATAAAACCATTAAATTGTGGAAAATCAGTGAACGAGACAGGAGACCCGAGGGCTATAATCTTAAAGAGGAAGACGGACGCTACAAGGATCCCAACACTATCACCTCATTACGGGTAAGTCCGTGAATCATACACACCCCGAAAGCACGAGGATGACAACACGCAACAACACAGGGAGTTCAGATACTGATCGAACAGAAGAATCTAACCTACGCATGTACATTTATTGGTCACTCGGTACACTTGCCGAATCGGATGAGAACGAAAGAGCTCAGAGTTTGTGGTCTTCAAGCTGTTCGCAAAAATTAAAATTTTGCCTCATTTCACTCCTCCCTGCCCCCTTCCATCTCTTTAAAACTTCAAATTTGACCACTTAAGTCTTATCTGCATATCTATATAAACAACAATGTATAATACTTTAAAACAGCATAGTTTTGTTTAGCACTCAATGTGGGTATTTAAAGTCTATTTGTTAATGTGACATCAAGAAAGGGGGGAGGGGGGGGGTTATGTACTTCAAGCAAGGATTTTTACTCTTTAAAAATGTAAGTCTGGCCTTTGTTGGGTATGGATGGGAAAAGATTCCCATCCCTGACCTTCCATTTCCGTCCATTTGTGTTGTTTGACCAAAGTCAGTCCCTAGAGGGCAGAATTGCTCTGGTTTATAGAAAAAAAAGTTGAGCCAGATGTTGAGACTCTTTTAAGAGGCTTAAGTTTTCTATGCCCTCAGGTGCCAGTTTTGATACCCATGGACCTCATGGTGGAAGCCAGCCCACGCAGGGTGTTCGCCAACGCTCACACCTACCACATCAACTCCATCTCGGTCAACAGTGACAATGAAACGTACTTGTCGGCAGATGACCTGCGCATTAACCTTTGGCACCTCGAGATCACTGACCGCAGCTTCAGTATCTTTTTCTGTCATCGTTGGACACTACTGCAGATTCCGCAGACGTGTAATAACTGGCTGTGTTTACAAAAGTGATCAATGTGAATGGACTTTTTTCTTTTTTTTTTTTTTTTTTCCCAGCGAACGAGGAGCTCATTCAGCACTTTTCGGCATATTCTGTTTGATTTCAAGCTGTGTCATACCTCTTGTATTATATGGTTTGATGAACTGACTTTGATGCAGGAGGATATTTAAAGAAAATCCTTTCGTTTTGGGTGTTCTTTGACGGACAAAAAAGTGTGTGACATGCCAGAACGTTCACCGACTGATGAAAAAAAGGGCAGCGGCTTTTCAGTCTTATGTAGCGCGTCCTGATTTTCTGTTATACTTATTACCGTTTATGGCCTTGCCCTCTTTCTTCAAAAGTGCCGACACGTTACAGCATGATGCATTTTGTCTGGGCTAGTTGTAGAAAGCATGCATATTCCCCTTAACCTTGCATCCTCCAGATATTGTTGACATCAAACCAGCCAACATGGAGGAGCTAACAGAGGTGATCACAGCAGCCGAGTTCCATCCTCATCAGTGTAACACCTTCGTCTACAGCAGCAGCAAAGGAACCATCCGTCTGTGTGACATGAGGATCTCTGCACTCTGTGACAAGCACTCCAAACGTGAGTAACGCCACTCACTCTTAGTTGCCATATGTCCCACCAAAAAAATAAAAAATAAAGAAAATACCTTTTCACCACGTAGGTCAGATCTAAGACAAATTATGAGCAAGACAGAGTGGGTGGCTCGTTATTTTTTCCGTCCTATTCACACGACTCAAATAACGATAATTCATATCTGCATCTTTTCAAGAAGATGTGAAAGTGTTTTTTTTCTTGCACCTCCAGTTTTTGAAGAGCCAGAAGATCCCAGTAATCGCTCGTTCTTCTCCGAGATTATATCATCAATCTCGGATGTGAAATTTAGCCACAACGGACGCTACATGATGACCAGGGACTATTTGTCCGTCAAGATATGGGACTTGAACATGGAGAACCGGCCAGTGGAGACCTATCAGGTATTTATTTAAATATATATTTTATATATAAATATACATTTTGCCTGATTGCTTGGAATGAAAATAAAATTGTATCGACACATGCATTAGGATGGTTAGCTCTACTTGTTCCTTCATTTATGATGCGTGAGTCTGACATGTCTGTAATCCATCTGATCTGGAAAGTCATATCAAGGGCAATTTCAGATTTTCGCAGAAGCTTGTTGATGTCTGAAGTCGTCTTGATTCGAGGGCATCGGAATAGGGTTGTTTATATTCGTACCAGACCTAGAAATATACGTAATCTGGAATGGAGAAGCCCTTCCGAGCCTCTAATCTGCTCTGATTTTTCCTTTCAGGTTCACGAGCACCTGAGGAGCAAATTGTGCTCGCTCTATGAAAACGACTGCATCTTTGACAAGTTTGAATGTTGCTGGAATGGCAATGACAGGTAATTAAAAAAAAAAAAAAACTTCTGTTTTGGTTGATTTCAGTTAATTTCATGATTTTATTAATTTGTGATCATCAATATTGATTGATTGCCTGCATACCTGCAGCACTTTTTTTTTTCCCTGCCAAATTTTTTTCAGAAAAGTTTATTCCGTCCTGAATATAAAATTTTCGCCGTTTCTCTACATTCTTCTGCTAGCGTGGTGATGACCGGCTCATACAACAATTTCTTCCGGATGTTCGACCGGGGCCAGAGGCGCGACGTCACTTTGGAGGCGTCCCGTGAAAACATCAAGCCCATGCAAGTCTTGAAACCCCGCAAGGTGTGCGTAGGGGGCAAGCGCAAGAAGGATGAGATCAGCGTGGACAGTTTGGACTTTAACAAGAAGATCCTGCACACAGCCTGGCATCCGCAGGACAACATCATCGCAGTAGCGACGACCAACAACCTCTACATATTCCAGGATAAAGTCAATTAACGTGCACAAGCTCTGGTGTGTGTGAGATGTCGTGATGCACCACCTGCCGCCTCGCGGCCTCAGCCAGGGTGGGTCAAAGTAACGCTGACAACCAGCATCCCCTGTTTGTCGCTGCTGGGTGACCGGCCTTTGTTCCAGATGGAGACAGAGGAAGCCTCGCTCTTGCCCATCATCAACCTGTCTGTGACAGTGACACCTGCCTTGTTGTTTCAGTGATGTGCCATTTTATTTTGGGTTTTTTTGTTTGTTTTTTTTGCGTTGTTATTTGTTGTTTTTTTTTGTTTGTTTTTGTTTTGCCCAACCACCTACCTCTTCTGAGGTAATGTGGGTATAACGGATTAAGATCCAAAATTTTTGAGTACAAATTTATTTTTATAACCTGCTCCCATGACTCTGTGAATTTTTTTTTTTTTTTTAATTAGTATGTCCCTTATTGTCCCGTGCCATAGTAGTGTTTAATTTTCTTAGCGAAAAATGAAAGTCTGTTTTATTTTTTGGGGGGTTGTTATTAATGTGTGTGCATACACCATTTTTATGAACCTAACTGTAATGCTTTCATAGTATTATTTGAGTCTCCTTCCATATCTTAATTACACACACATGCACACGTGCGCGCGCGCACACGCACACACACACACAAACACAAGAATGCTCAAAAGATTGTGGACAAAGGCAATGCTCCGGTCTTATTGGGTTGAGTTACTGTCTAGGTCACTGTTTTGGAGGGCCAATATGTTCCAAAATAATAATAACAATCAAATTTGGTTTTTCCTGTGTTGAACAATAGCAGCCTGAGAGTGGATTTAAACATAACAATGGTTGTCTATTTATATTTAAAAATTCACCTATCTCTGCAATTATTCCGTCCTCTGTTCTAATAATTTTAAATATGACATTTTAGAATTTTTACTTTGAGATAATCTCAAGTGATGTCTTCCCTCATGGTGCGTTGCTTTATAAGGGAATTGTTTGCCATGACACTGGACGTGCTCAGAGTAAATTACGTGAATGTGTTTGTTTGGCAAATGTTTAAAACTGAGGATTTTTATTTGAGGCATTTCATTGCATCCTGTTAATTCAAATACAGTACAAGCATTACTGCCACTTTAAATGTGTTGGTGCAATGAGCTGCAAGAGAACTGATGCGTGTTGTCCTCACACCGTACAAACGTGGACCAGTCAGACTATTTGATGCCTCTGTCTATGTGCGACAACAATTTAAATCTATGACAGTGAGCGGAATAAAGGAACTACTTTTTGCATTCTTTTGATTGCTTGTATGAGGCACCTGATGGGTAGGGGTTTAAGGGTGAGATGGTGCCGCTGTTAAATTCGAACGCAGGGGTGGAATGATTAAAAAAAAAATCCTTCATGCTCATAAACTGATATTTACATAAACACACTAAATGTAAATGTAATTGAACAATTATTTCACGAGCTCTATGAAAACTATTAGTGAACGCTAAATATACGACACTTGATGTAAATGTACCAGATGTAACGTTGTCTGTTTCCTCTTTTATGGGAGCCGCTTCAGAAAATAAACTTATCGCTGGAATCATCTATGTTGAAACCAGGTTTATGCAGCCCCTGTTTGTGTACGTGATCATACGCACGTTTATTATGGGCGCCGTTTTGCACCAAACCACAAAAAAAAAATATTTATTAAAGATTTTTTAGTAACGAAGGCTCGAGGCCTGCAATTAGTTTAATTTCGGTATGTATTTTTAAAAGGTTATATAATTACACCGTCTTCCTTGAGCTACGTCATCAGTCAGCTCCGGGAGGATCTGCGAGCCCCGCGGCGGCTACCGCCTCAGCAGTAACCATAAAAACAAGTCGCAGTCCAGTCGAAGCTTCGATAGCTTCTCACGAACAAAAGCATCTGACGGCGAGGCGATACACTTGTGTTGTCACTTGTCTGAATGTATGAGGGAAAAGTCGCACGCATTTTCCACTGACGAGCTTTTTATACAACCCACACTGGTTGTTGCCTGGCTCAACGATGTCCGACGCTAGTTACACTGCTACAGACAACAACGGAGACTCTGGGCTCAATGGTGAGTTGTTTGCTCCATTTGAGGCTTTTTTTTCAGTAATTTCGCTAAATGCAGCAACAATTGGATTGTGGGGATGTATATTACTTGATGTGAAATGCAATTTACATTTCTTTAAAATAGTTGTGCATGTTGGAATCTGTTTTTGACGTCGCGAAGCTACATGTAAAGGAGGCGGAGTGAAGAGCGCCATGTTCCGTTGTTTGACAGCGTCCGAACCAATGGCTGTTTCGATCCTTTTGACTGACAGGCATGTGAGCCAGTCAGTAAGTCCCGCGGTGTTATGGAGGTGGGATTGAGTTTTGTCAACAAGCCGTGATCGAAAATGCCAACAACTGGTAAAAATTTGGGGCAGGGGGTTCAGATCTTTCTCGTGACAAATGTAGTGATGTTTCTGCTCTCTGAATTATTGTTTTTTATTTGTTAACATATTTTATCCGGCCCCATTAAAGCTATTTATATTTATCAAATACAGCAAACGTTTTCACTTTACGTCGTGGTTTACGTTAGCTAAGCAAACCAAGTTGAAATCAGCTTGTTATTCCCAAGTAAACATACAAGACATGTTTATTAAAACGCTCATCTGCGAACAAAGCAATAACATTGTGGTTTGTTTCTCATCACTATGGAGCGGCATGACGGGGCATGCTATTTACAGCTAGACTGACAAGGGCCAGTGGCAGACGTCAGAAAATGGGCACCGGGTTCAAATATTTCAACCCACCTTCGTGCTTGTAATGGACTGTATTTTATTGATCTTAAAATAGCCAGATGTAATGGGCTTCTCTCATCCGCTTGGGACGTTTTCTTTTTTGGTGCTCAAAACTCTTAATCATATTTGTGTCATAATATTGTAGAAGTTCCCTTAAGTCTTCCAGTTTTTACGGCCATGAGTTTGGTACAGCGTTGAAAGCTCCCGTGTGTCACTTCAACCATGAAAAATTGAGACATACTGGACAGTCACTGTTCAAGACAAAGCTGGAAAGACATGCCCCACAGATACCATCAGCAAGCTAGGGCAACAGTGCGTATATGCGTTAGCTCAGCCAGTAGGCTATTTTTGGACTTTCCTGGAGCACTCACACCAGGTCATAAGCATATTTGTCTGTAGCATATGCTCTTCCAGGCAAACGTCCTCCATCACATCTCTGCTGTGTCTGATCCCCAACTTCGGTACATCAAAAAAGTCACTTTGTGTCCATTCTCCTAATCAACTTGACAGCTGATAGCAGGTCTGAAGCCAGAATGTTCGCAAATGTTGGCACCATGGCAACGTGGCTTCAAATCACACACCACAGAGCAGAGACAATGCTCTGTCAACAGCAGCTTCGCTCATAGTCGACTATGTAATCCACAGGGTGAGAGCGAATGCTCAGTTTGAGGGGGAGGGATGGCTGACGTATTGGGTCAGTGGGTGTAACTGAACTGGACTGCCTTTGCAACTGGCAAGGGGAGCACACTGTTTATTTTACTGTTGTAAGATCATAGGACCTCTGTGGGAGGTATTCCTTGTCTATGGTGAGAATTTTTTTTTATCTTGGTGATAGAGGAAAAATCGTTTCATTTACCGCATTTATTGTTTTATATATAGATATAGATACATAGATATATAGATGACGGCCAGCCTGCCCGTCATCTATATTTGTAATACAACTTAAGTGTGCAGTCACTCTCGCCTGCACATGCAAAACTCACATCAACAGAAAATTCATAGATCACATGGAAGGTCCACAAGAAGCCACAGGAAGGCATTTACTGCACTGTCATCACACAGCAGGAAATAGTGCTTTCCTCATCAACATTTGATTGACACATCCACTTGTTTGTCTTTGGGTGAAAGTGCTACTCAGATTCTTTTTTTGGATCCTGCCAGCTTGTGAGGTCAAATTAGGAGAAGCAGAAGTGTAATCCCCTCCCGTAACGCTGTCCATGTTTACTTGTACTGCCATAATTCAATGTTAAGCAGTGCTTGACATAAGACACAGCCATGTAAACAGCATTATGGGGTTACAGTAAATAGTTGTATTTGAGTAGGAGATAATGAATATGCTTACAGCACTTTTCCAACAAGTAGTACCTAAAAAAAATGCCTATGACTCTTGAATGGCCACCACAATGGCCAACATTAAATTGCAGTACTGCAGCAGGACTATTTTTAGTCAAAAACGACTCGGTGGTGTAATTCCTAAAAAGTACATTTAATATTTCCAGCCAGTGTAACATTATTTTCTTTGCTTGAATAAATAATTACAATTAAAAACGTTACTGAATTGATGATTAAGTTAAATTGTGTTGCCTCTGACATTTATTATTATTATTATTTCAATAAAACTGTATCCAATCAAATAGTTGTTAAAGATTAAATGCCAGTGTATTGAATTTAAAAGTTAAACATAACTGAAGTCTCTACCTTGCAGTAATTCTTTTGCTTGCCACTTGTGGTATTTGTACCACACCAAATGTAAAGCGTGTTTTGATTTAATGACTGTTATTAATGCCGTGACATTTTCCCTGCCCATGCAAATCACACGAAAGTAAGGAGCGGGATTGAAAATACTCCAGAAACAAAGCAACCGGGTTTGCCATCATCTGGAACTACAAACGTAATATGACAAGCATTTGCGTTATTGCCTTTCTGAAAAATGTCAAGACATCTTTCTACAGGCAGATCTGAGGTCATAACTGTTATTTGGGTAACCTCCTCTCGGGCAGCCATTTCACAGAATTTTCTTGATGGGAAAACAAGCAGCCAATGGAATGTTGTTTATTTTTTAACAATGTTCTGAACGCCTGTTTATATGTCACCGTTGAATTGAGCAGATGCAATCAGTTAACAATCGCTCCCCCACACACACAGAATGTGATCCAGATAGTGAACATAGAGTAAGTTATAAAATACAGTAGTAGGTTATAGTAATGGCATCAATGGTTGCACCAAAACATGATATTATGTATACAGGTACATAGTGTGTGCTTCGAAGGCCCACTCATCATATGAGTGTTTCTCCCCACAGGGTCCTGGGTGGAATTGGAGATGAACAGAGGCGCTGCAGGCTCAAGCCAGTCATCTTCCGCAGTTAGCCCTGTTTCAGGCCTGTTGCCCCTTCCTCAGGTGGAGGAAGAGGAGGCCATGGTGGGGGCACTGGAGCACGTCCCATCCTCATCCTCCATCCACAACGGTGACATGGAGAAGATCTTACTGGATGCCCAGCACGAATCCAGCCGTAGTAATTCCTCCTGTGACAGGTGGGCTAGCCTTTCACCTTCAGTAGAAATTACTTTTCACCTGTTCAACAAAGTATGTTTTTGAGCTTTAGTTTGTCCGGTTGAAATCACCACGTTAGTCCCTTCTCTCCCTAATAGGGAACACACAGGAGGTGAAAGCTCAAGAACTGTCTTTGGCAAAGTTCACGGAAAGCCCCGAGCTTCCGGGTTCATAGCATTCCGGGATTTCACCGTAGTGGTTGGCTCTTGTCCAAAATTATTTTTGACTTTTAGCCTTTTTAGACCTGAATAGAGTCCGAGGCAATCGGGTAAGCC